AGGTAAGCTCATTTCCATCATTGTCGAGGATCGTGAACTGCCTGTATCCCCACTCCTTGTCCTCAATCGGCTCTTTGATAAACACTTTCCCCTTGGCCGTCAACAAGCGGTAGAACTCGTCCAATTCGTCCGTGCCCAGCGCAATCATTGCTGCGGACGCGTGAAAATCTTCTTTTTTGCACTCAAAGAAGTAGATGTTTGCGTCGGCCTTTGGGCCGACGAAGATGGAGCAGAAGGTTGGCTCGATATCAGGGTTATCATCCGGGTGAACGCCGCCGAGTGTGAAGCTGAGTTCTTCCGTGTAGAACTTGACAGTTTCTTTAATCGATGTGGAATTGAACTGGGGAATGACCTTCCATGCGGAATGCACGAGTTCGGCCATTGTGTTTTCAAAACTGTCAGAGAGGAAGGCTGTCTAAAAGGTATCGATCCTCAGCGCAGTGAAATATAATCGTCATTCAAAGGTTGTATGTGATAAGCTTTCACAAGAACAAATCAGAGGAAATCGTCACATCTTGAGAAGCCATGAGAGGCGATCTTCCTAGGCAGCAGCTGGTTGCTAACATGTGGCAGTGTTCTGCAGTCCAACATCGACATCCCACGTTCAATTGCCAATATCCCCTTCTGATGCTAAAGCTCTCAGTTGTGCTTGGCATTTCACCCCATAACTAGTTAAATGGTAGCGCTGTATTGCAACCGCATGGCTACGTTTACATCTTGAACATCCTCACTAAAAAACATGGTATATCCATTCATACATTTGACGTCCATTTCAGGTCAGCTTACATCCGGCTAGGCAAATCTTCCTAATCTCCGCCGTCTCTTCGTAGAGTCCCGCACAGAGGCTGAAGAAAATGAGTACTCCAGAAATGCGGTATGAAAACGAGTTCGCCTGGAACACAGTCCCTTACTGACTCCTGCCTCAGTTCTATAACCTCGTCCTGTTCATATCTTCTGTGGCTGTCTTCAGTCTCATCGCCCAGAGAATGGGCGGCGGAAAGGCCGCTCAATAATCATACAGGCTAAACTAGAATTATTCGTTTACAACGGCCACCTCGACATGGCCATCAAATACAAGTGGCTATCCGAACAATCCGCATATCGAGACGCTTAAACCCCCAAATGCAATGATTCCTAAACTGCCTTCACAATGATCCGTGGCGGCGGGTAGAATATGCGGCCTTTTTGCCATCGGATTCAGTCTTCCCCCATCTCATTGCACCTTCGATGACCTCTTCCAAGTCTTCTTGCAGTTCTCTCTTCTCCTTGATAGCTTTGGCCTTTCCGTCAGAGTATCGCCCTGTCATCCCAACATCTTTGAGCATCTGCTTTAAATGGCTTATCTTCGCTTTGGCCGTCTCAAATCCCTCAAGCTCGCGTGCCCATCTCTTCCGTATTCCGCACTTCCCCAACCATCGTTGCAATTCCTTGATATCCGCCTCGTCAGCGTCAACGCTTTTGCTCGCGTTGGGCTTGGCTGTTTTTCCTTTCTTCGTGGGAGCCTTTCCTGTTTTCCTCTTGGGCTTAGGGGCTTCATCGACTAGTACTGACATCTCACTCTCCGACCCTTCCTGTTCGTCTACATCTTTCTTTTGAGGTTGCGAGCCTTTCTCCGGCCCTTCCACCTGGGTTTCAGAATCAGAGTCAGGGATCGCTGTCTGCCGTTTCTTCGCAGGTGCCTTTCTTATTCCCCGGCTACGTTTTGGGACCTTTTCTATCGCCCCAGATACTTCAGTCTCCGACCCCTTTGTCTCGCTATCATCTTTGTTCCCAGGCTGGCCACCCCTTTTCGGCTCTTCTTCATCGGAATCGGAATCAGACTAGACAACCGGTCTAGATAGTCTTCTAGGCTTCCCCTTTCCTTTGGCTGAAGCTAGCGACTAGGGTACCTTCCTCCCTGTTACTTTCCGCGGCGTTTCAGAATCGCTTGGTTGGACGGCTGGCTCCTCTTCGCTTTCTGGCGGCGTCTTTGCTTTGCTCAGCAGAGAGTACCCATCTCCGTCATTTCCTAGCGCTGGAGTCTTCTTTCGCCTCTTCGCAGCTTGAGATGATCCTGTCGCTGCCCTTTTAACCGGTATCGACGTCTGAACGAGTGGCGATTGGGACTTCTTTGGCGATAGAGGAGATATGGGGTTTGTTGTTTCGATGGGAGCTGGTCCACCATCCTCCCCTTTATGCAATTCTTCCTGTAATTTCTTAGGAGAACAAGCCCGATTAGCTACGCTGCATCTTATATGAAGCGACAAATAAGCTAGGGATCATACCACTTCATCTTTAATTATCTCATCACTCTTTGGCTTCCAACCCTGATCTCTTCGGAAGAATCCTTCGTATAGGTTCAAGGCTCTTTCAGCTGCCCCTCGAACGCGCTTCACGGTCAGGTCGTCAAACCTTCCCGAACTATACATCTCCACGACTGCATCGCGCAGTGCCTGTTCGAGGGTGTCATCGCTGGCTACGCTAAACGACGAAACCTCATCAGGATCCAGCTGCGAAACGGGCATTGTATGGTGGATCGATTCTCAGCGGGAAATTTTCCTGGGGGACCTTGAAGCCCTATAGATCTTGGGAAGTGTGGAGCGAAAGAGACGCGTGAAAACCGTGATATTTACGCGTCAGTGGTCATTGGCAACTGTGTCGGATAGTAATTAACACCGATTTTGTAGTTGAATAGCTATCTGCGGTGTGTTGTGCTGTGCTGCGATTCTGTGGGCCTTCGAAAGCTTTCAACCTTATGACGTGCGGATTGATTGTCGGCGTTCAACTGAACTTCTCCGAAATCCGCCTGCTTTGAAATCCACGATTCAAATCACCGTCTGGAGTATCATTGAACCAAAACACTCTCGTCTTTCGCAGTTTCAATTAGTTAGTCCAACCCTCTCTTTACTCGTTGTTAAGCTCTGGTCAATTGGTTCTCGATTCCTTCCCTATCTATTCAAGAATTCCTATGGCGGAAATCTTGACCGAACAGATTGATGCGATCAACCAGCATAAATCGCCCAACGCCGGCGACAAGGAAATAAGGAGGAACCTGCCCAAAGGCGTTGTTCTAGATAAAGATGGAAAACCGTGAGCCCTATCCTTTTACCTTTTTGCTGTTTGCGACTGTAGCTTCCCTCGCTAACAGCCAAATCTCTTCACAGCTGCCGCACCTGCACATCTCTCGCCGACTGGCGCGCCCTTACAAAAGCGAAATCCTCCTCGACCGTAGCCGGGGCCAGTGCAGCCGCTGCATCCTCCTCCTCACCCGCAAACTCCAGCTCTCCAAGCACGCTACCCTCCACTAAATCCTCCACACTCCCCAGCCCTTCCAATCCCGTCTCTGCCGCCGACACAACCCCATCCGCCCCTCCCCCAGACTGTCCCGCCGACGTCAAAACTCTCGGCAGAAGCACCTGGACGCTCCTCCACACCATGGCAGCCACCTATCCAACCGCCGCAACCCCGCAGGAACAGGACAACATGCGCTCCTTCATCTCGCTCTTCTCCAAGCTCTACCCGTGCTGGGTGTGCGCGGACGATTTCCGGGCGTGGATGAATGATGCGTCGGGGAGGAATAAGCCCAAAGTCAAGGGGAGGGAAGAGTTTGGGAATTGGATGTGCGAGGCGCATAATGAGGTCAATCGGAAGCTCGGGAAGAAGGAGTTTGATTGTGCAAAGTGGCAAGAGAGGTGGAGGACTGGTTGGAAGGATGGGAGCTGCGATTAGAGGACGGAGGCGCATGTCATATCGACTATCGTTGGACATTGCCGATGAGTGTTTTTTTTTTAAACTTCTCTTCTCCACGGAGCATGATTGATTTGCCGTTCTAAGGGCGTTGTATATATCTCTGTACACTAGATATCTGTACCATAGAAAGGTCGCGACTCACGATATAGGTAGATATGGGCAATCCTGATTCTGAAAACTACCTTTCCTACAAGCGTTTTAGGCTAGAAAGACAACAATAACGAACCAAAGCTGGCTTAAGCAAAATGTGGACGTGATATGGACAGCTGATGCTAGCATACTATCCTTCTCAATGCCTTCTAACAGGGCAAAACAGGGTAATAAAAGGTATTATCATTCAGAAAGGAAGCATTCACCTAAAGCTCTGACTCAAGGCATGGAAGTTTTAGGCATCAAAAGTAGTAGCGCGTTTCATATTACTGTTTGGGTTCGTAAAAGCGATCAAGTCCTCTATTCGTCATCCACTTCCACTTCCTCAGCAGGCTCGCCCTCATCTTCAAACCCATTTGCTTCGTCTTCTTCTACACCTTCTTCTTCTTCGGCCGCAAGCAGTTTTTCAAATGCAGAATGAGACGTAGCTTTTACAGGCCAGTTGGACTTGAATGTTGGGATGACGACTTTGGGAAGCTCCTGAGGTTCGCCGAGCGTGGGTAATTTGACTTGATCTTCTGTGAGGCCACTCGCCTCGAGAATCGCTTCGGCTTCTTCGGTAAGTCCGTGGGACTTTGCTGTAAGATAAGCCAAGGGGTCTAATCTTGTTAGTATGACATCAAGAAAATAACGCGAAGCGACAGACTTACAGAGGCCTAGTTCTTTGAACATTTGTATCTTGTTCTCAACGTCATCGAGGTAAATGGCATTCTGGAATCGTGAAGTAAAATCGCCTCGGTGTTCTGCAATCTTTGCCATTCGATTCAACTTCTCCTGGTCACCCGTCGCCAAATAGAGGAATGACAACTTGTCGAAATTCCGCTGCTTCTGGTACGTCATCTCTACAGTTTGGTGATTTCCGTGAGCCAGAGCTTCAGCTCCTAACCGCGACCATAATTTTGGACGATCAAGTTGCTTCGCCATTTCGATCGCAACGTCGATGTTACCGCATTCTAGTGCTAGTTCGAAACGAGTCTGGGGATCTTGCACGAATTGCAGAGCAATTTCGGGGTAGCCTTTCTTCTGTAGATACGAGATTATGCTTTGGCCCACAAGGCTGGAGGTCTTAATGATTTGCAACATTTCATCGTAGTTGCGTTTCACCAATGCCAGCTTAAACCGATAGTCTGTAGGGTCAATTTCTAGAATAATGGGTTGAGCACTTCTGTCTAAGCAGTAGACATTTTTGGCTTTCACCCGAATTAGATATATTGTGGTGTCAAGTGTCCGTACAATACCATTGTCACTGCAAATATGTTTAGTAAATCGAACACACATGGTCACAGGACAACATACCCATTAAGCAGAGAATATTTGATGTGATTGAGGGTTGAATATAAAAGGACACCGCTGTCATCCCAACAAGCACTCTTGATACGGATGGTCTCATGCAACGTGCTTACATGTTCCAGCTTCTTTGTAGCAATGACCACATTATGTTTGCTTAGGAGTGCAACATGTTGCCCGTCATTTGACCAGACCACGTACTTAACACCGCTTATACTCAGTTCAGCCGCTTGTTGTTTTTGCAGGATATCGTAAAGCACAACTGTAGTCGGAGTGAGGAAAAGCAGGAATCCTTGCCCTCCATCACAAATGTCAGAGGTTCCAGGGGGAGGTTTAATAGTTTCACAGACGGAATTGTTCAAATCCTTAATATCAAGTTGTTGGGTCGGCTGGTTGAAAACGGCGAACCTATTGCGGCCGACGAAAATAGCCGCTGTTCCATGGCCTTTCTTTAAATCAGTTGGCTCAATTGCCCCCGTCGAATCCTTTGGGATATGAATAAGCTCATAGGTGCCGTTGTCGGTAGGTGAAGTCACTAAAATGGCCCGTTCTGCCGCATTATAAGAGAGAGTCCTTGGAGGTACCCATGGGCTACCCAGCTTCCTTAGCGAAAGCATAGGTGGTGACTCTGTTTTCTTAACAAAATCATAACATTTCAGATGTTTCTCCTTCGTGATGTAAAATAGCTGGGTCTGATGCATGGTGGATGCAGGCCGTTCGCGTTCGAGTTTAAACACCATCACGCCAGTGTCATGCCCGGCAGCGAATAAGTTGATTTCTGGGTGTGCGGCAATTACCCAAAGACGATCCAGATCCCGCTTGAATGATTGAACGGATGTTCGCTTATTCAGATCCCAAACACGGATGGTTTTATCCTCGCCGACGGACAATATCAAATCTTGGTGCGGATGGAACAAACAAGCAGACGCGTTCTGAAAGTGTCCACGACAGGTATCGACCTCCCACGCCTTGGTGTCTATAGATGGTTAGTTTTCATACAGTCGATTCCAAGGATCGCCCTACCGCTCATTCTCCAGAGTTTCACCAAACGGTCATCTCCTGCGGAAACAATCAATGGGAGAGTGGGATGGAACGCCACCCAGTTAACCCCACGGTCATGGCCTTCGAGCACAAATTTAACAACAGCATCAGTGTTTCCGAACATATCAGCTTGAGCAGGGCTAGCGCGGGCGAGTTGATCCTCGAAGCTCATTGAACTAGTGGGGGCCGAGTGTTTCTTTCGGAGGCCAGAAATATCCCAAACTCGGACGGACTGATCGAGGGAGGCGGAGACGATTAGATCCTCTTTGGGATGGAACTGCGCACACATAACATAATGGTTGTGGCCCGTCATTGTGCAAACTGTTTGAATCAGCAAAGCACAGCGTAATTAGAAAAGTCGCAATCACTCACTTAACGATCGATTCTGCCAGTTCCAAATACGAATTGTCTGGTCATCGGAACTTGAAATGATCCACGGATGCTCGTGGTGGAAGAAAACAGTGCGAACATAGTCTAGATGCCCGCTGAGCGTGAAGAGGCATCTCCTAGTTTGATATGACCAGACTTTGATTTTGTAATCATCACCTCCTGATACAAACAGTGGTTGTGTTTTGTGGAAGTCAATCCCTCTAACAGGACCGTCATGTTCTTCAAATCGATCAATCAGTGTGCCCATTCTATAGTCCCATAGTTGTATGGTGGAGGAGTGAAGGGAGACTAAAAGCCATGGCCTGATTTCGGTTTAGTACCAGAGTAGCCGATGAGGGGATCGCGGGTCACTGACCGTTTGGGGTGGAAGGCAATGCCCTTGGCTCTGGAGGACTTGGACTCAAACTATATGACAAAGTCAGTACAATACCTTTGCATACTTGAATTTGGTAGGTGAACCTTTGTGAGCATTGTGGGAGCGGACTGCATCTTGACGGGTGGGTGGCCGAAGCCACAGGATTGCACAGGCTCTCTCGGCGGGTCAGTGCAAGAAGAAACTTAAATTAATATCATCAGATGCAGATGCAGCAATGGAATGGTGCCTCTGTATTGAGACGCTCAATTGCGGTTGTGCAATGCTGTCCCTTCGCGGTGGTGTGAGGTACGTGGACTCTTTTGAAGTTGTGGCTCAAGAGGCTGCAGTTGCGCAGTAACAAATGTTGTACTGGTTGATACAGGTGAGCTAGCTGTAGCAGACTATCGTTGGCTGGTCCCTTGTAAATTGCGAAACTTCAATACCGTCGCTTTTATTACACACCCAAACCCGTCATTTGCTGCCATCAGCAACCCAACTTCACAATACGAAAATGATGATATTCAACCAGCTTCTACTCAACCACTGATATATCTGTGCGCTGCTTTACCTATATCAATGTCCATCATAAATGATCCCTAAACAGCAAGCCTGTTCAATCCTGTCGGCTCATGAAGGACAGTGTTTCAAACATCTTACATGGTCAAGGTCAGCTCCTATAAGCCTCAGCTTGGCTCCTCTGAAAAACATCCTTTGTGGCACTCGAGAATTTCGTATATGCCTCCAACTAGACTAAAACAAAATGTTGTTGCGCCAAAAGAAAGGTCGAACCGGTCGCATGTCGAAAACGACTCACCCGAGAAGCAAGCTAGGAGGTACTCATTCAAACGTATGCCTCCTCGTAAACGCCGATTGAGCGTCGGTGTTGATGGCGATTTCGTGATTGAAGATATCTCCCACCAAGATTCTGGGTACGATGGTGACCTTGAGGTTATCTGGCCGTATCAATATGAGGATGCTGAAACGGATGCTACTACAAAGCAACCCTCCGATGCTAAGAGGACCGGCCCAAGGCAGCCAAAACGGGATGAGCTATCTCGCAGTGGATTGATCGACTGGATGGACTCCTTACACTGTGATTCCGATAAGGACACTCTTCGTCCCAAGAGATGCCTTAAAAGGAAATTGAGGCCTTCACTAGAGAATCTACATAGGAGATCATCTTCTTTGCGTTCCATCCATCAAGGATCGGATCTTAAAGAGAGCGGAAAATCTTCCTCTACGCCTAAGAAGCCCAGACAAGACCGTCAAGAGAGCTCCCAAGGGCAGGATGATAGACCTGCAGGTATTGGATCCGCCCCGGTGAAAGGCCAGGCGTGCTCAGCTGGGCTATCTGCTGATCTGACTTTCGAATCGAGTACGGCCACACCCGACTCTATGGACCTGGACTGAACGGTCAAAATATCCGGCAGCCAATCCAACCACCAAGGCCCGCACTTTCGTGCCGTGAGCGTATAGACTGCTAGACGCTTTATTAACCAGTACTCCGCATATCGGCCGGCAATCCAACTGTCAGGTTCTTCCTTCCGTCTGTTCTAAAGAAAGACCACGGATAGATCACGTGATCGGTTTCCAGGCTGGCCTCCATGACGTCAAACGCCAACATCGCAAGGTTAAAAGAAACGCAGTTCCTATGGCCGTTGGCTAGCATTGCCTTTCGATCAATATCATTTTGGATCTTTTTCCCATTGATGTTTACTTTCTAGGTCTTCTATCGTACGTCGCTTTTCCTCACAATGCCCACTAGAACATCGACGCGTCAAGCAGCGGCGAAAGCGAACGAGGCATTGCAGCACAGTACCCGTTCAAAGAAGGCGTCTGGCAGTAAACGAAAAGGATCGACCGAAGAAGAAGCGCCTAAGACCAAACGTGGAAAGAAGGTCGGAGAAGATCAGGATGCTCATGCCGAATTGGAGTCTCCTTCAGAAGAAAAGCCCAATGAGCCTCCCAAAGGCCAGTTGAAAGAGGGCAAAAAGAAGAATGGGCATCAGGTCAATGCAGAAACAAAAAAGCCTAGCGAAGAAGCAGAGGAGAAGAAAAACGTTGAGGAAGGGTCACAACAAGAGCCCAAAGAAGGTGCCAAAAACGGAGGCGATCTACATCAAAAGGGGGCGGTAAAAACATCACAGAAAAGGAAAGAAGAAGTTCCATCAAATATACTAGAGAAAGGAATCATTTATTTCTTCTTCCGTTCTCGAGTCAGCGTCGATGAGCCAGAAAGCATGGGGGATGTGGCCCGCAGCTTCATCGTTTTACGGCCGCTGCCGTTGGATGCAGAGCTAGGAAAAGGCCCGATTGGAGACGAGTCAAATTGCCGTTTACTTCTTTTACCCAAAAAGAAGCTCCCGTCATCATCTCGTGAGAGGTATATGGGATTCGTGGAGAAGGCCGGCACCACACTCGAAACCATAAAGGACTCGTTTCTCGGTTCGGAATACGAAACAAAAACAAAGGGACACCAGGAGGTGCCGAGTGCAACGCCACTTGCCGAAGGAGTTTACGCGATCACATCCACAACTCGCAGTTCCCACTTGTCGTATATTCTCACTATTCCCGAGGAGCCGTCAGAGGTTCAGATTGATTTCGGTCTAGATAAGAAAGGGTCTTTTATTGTCAGCTCGAAAAGTCCGAAGTTTGCTGGACCATCAACCGCTCGCCTGCCAAAGGACCCTGAATATCCGCAGGAGTAAGAAGTTCTGTTTCAGCTGTTGCTCTATGCACTCGTAACTAATATATTGAAGGATCTTGGACGACTTTCGTGACCTTCGTTGGGTTCCATTAGAACCAAAATTCATTGATTACCCTAATGCACAGTTCCTCATGATTGGAGAAGCCCAAGGCGAATTAGCGAAAGGCGGCATGACGGAAACTAAACAAGGCGAAACGGAAGAGGCAGGCGAAGAACTCGAGCAGCTGGAGCATGAAAATGAAATTCGTGCCTCTCCAATCCAAGGTAGGTCTAGATGTTTTGCCATCAATTGTTCATTGCAATGCTCACTCACGACACAGACGACCACATGGTTTTCGATGATTTGGGAATGGGCGCGAAGGAATTTTCATCCATGCCCACCACATGGGGATGAACATGCGTCAACTTCATTTTGTTTAGCTTATCAGCATAGTATGGTAGATATGGCGGGAATTTCGGGGAGTCAATGAAGAATCAACACCGAAATACTTGTATCAATTTCAAACTGCTTCGAAAGCGTGACGAAATGCTCGAACCTGTCGTTATGGTAGAGAACATGACAAAAGGTGTCGAGCTCACATGAGGGCTCCGGCGACATCAGAGCTTTGGGATACCGTAGGTGTGCGCTGAAACTACTCCGTAGGTCCATGGGATTCAAGCCATCTGAGGAAAAGATGTGATGGGTGAAATGCCAAGTGACCCGGAAAGCGGCCCGTTCTTAACCATATCTTGCACTCATGGTCTTCAACTCCTGTAGCCAAAAAGCGCCCGAGGCCTGGAATGCAGGGGGAGGAAATTCCCCGAATCTCCAGCGCGATTCCAGCCGGGGATTAGTTAACTACACATTCGGTACGCTGCAAATAAGGGGAGGCCAGGGGTGTTCAGCAAACCCCACAATCGCCATCCCAACGTGCTACCAACAGCTCGCCCTATTGGGCTGGACGACATGCTGCTCAAGGCGCACTTTGATAGTCGGCATTCCGGGGTTCTCCCCACAGACTAGAAGGCCCGGATTATCACGATGGAAGTGTCTTCCATTCAGCGCATGTGCTTCAGCGGTTTGTATGGCACGTGTGGTACCCTTGTGCCCACATCGCGATAAACCATGGAATCTGGACAGCCGGAAGCGAGCAAGAGAGCAATTTCAGGCCTGTCAAGGCGTACTCGAAGCTCGTGTCCGTGCTCGATAAAAGGAAAAGAACTCGTCGCTTTCCCGGCTCGAAATGAGCAGACATTGTGAACCTTTTCGGTCATTTCGCCATGGCACCCTTCTGGAGCTCTTCGTTGAGCTGCCTTTCTGTATTTCTCGTCTTGGCCAGTGCTTTACCAGGTGAAATCACACATTGGCCCAAAAATCCTCCCGTGTTGAAGAAAACCTCTTGTGGGAGACATACGTACAAATACCATGGCCTCGAAGGTTATGGAACTATTCCCTCCGATGCGTTGGACAAGTATGGCGATACACTTGGTGGGATCGGTAGCGCTGTTGCTATAGAGCAATCTTCATGGAAAAGGAAGCGCGATGGATCTTATGAAGGCATTGCATGGGCATTGCCGGACCGTGGTTGGTATGAAGACGCCGTTCGAAACGACACTATAAAGATTGCCGTTAATGTGAGATGTCTAGGAACACCAATGGCACATTAAACGTCCAGTCGCGGATTCAAAAGTTGAGTTTGAAGTTCACTCCAGCGCCTGACGCGAGCGCGAAGAAACCGTCCAAGCAAAACTTGCAGATAAAATATCTGGATACGATTCTTCTCACTGGGCCGGACGGCACGCCCACCACGGGAATTGACGCAGACGCCACGGGCTTCATCTCCTTCCCGGGATTTCCACCGTTGCCTGGAGCCACTATCAAGGGAGACGGCTTTGGCGGTGGAGGACCGGGCGGACGTCGCATCAGTTTGGACTGCGAAGGCATTGTTCTAGGTCGCGATGGCTCGTTCTGGGTTTCAGACGAGTATGGTCCCTATGTCTATCAGTTTTCTCGCAGCGGCCGGATGTTGCAAGCCATCCAACCACCAGATGCCTTCCTCCCACACCGTAATGGCAAACTGAGCTTCAGCGCCGCCTCGCCTCCGATATACGATCCTGACCGATTGCCTGACCCAGAGGACACTGAGTATGGGCGTAATAATAACCAAGGTTTCGAAGCTTTAACAGTTTCGCCCGATGGCAAGAGGCTCTTCGTTATGCTACAGTCTGGAATGAATCAGGAGGGCGGCCCAAAGAAACAATACCGCAAGCAGACGCGCTTGCTCGAATACGATATCTCTAGACGAAAGCCGCGGTACAAGCACTCCTACGCCGTAACGTTGCCAACATATGTGGACTATACAAAGAAGGACCCCGAAAAGGCTACGGTTGTGGCATCGCAGTCCGAAATCCTTTACCTTCCTACTGGCGATCTGGTGGTTCTGGCGCGTGATTCCGGTTTTGGCCACGGCCAATCTGAGTCTCGCTCCGTCTACCGCCATGCTGATATCATCTCCATTCCCCGCCGGGCAACAGATCTAAAATCAACGCAGTACGACAAGGTTAAGGGTGCAATCGCATCGCCTACTGGGGTGCTAAAGCCAGGAATTAAACCTGTTGACTATTGTCCGTTTATTGACTACAACATTGATTCCGAACTCGCCAAATTTGGACTCCACAACGGTGGCGAGCAGGATCAAAACCTGCTCAATGAGAAGTGGGAGAGTCTTTCCTTAGTTCCAGTCGATACAAAAGGTCGCCGGCATCATGGAAAGAGAGAGTATTTCCTCATTAGTTTCAGTGATAATGATTATATCACCCAGCGCGGTACGCTTCCCGAAACTCCTTTTGTTTTCAGCATAGGGTGCTAACTAATTGTGTGGACTTCAGGACGCCTAAACTTTGGCAAGTTCAAATACGCTGATCAGTCCGGATTCAACCTGGACACCCAAGCATTGGTTTTCCGGGTATCTTTTTAGCCTTGTGAATGTGCTGTACCATGTAAAGAGATTCATAGCCAAATATCAATTTCTTCAAAACGTGGCTGGTTTAGTTTCAGCAGTATTATCCGCCCAACTTTCGTTGGGGGCCAGAAGCATGAACATTGGCACCAACTAGGTACAGATGTTTAAACAATGTGCTTGGTGTTGCTTCTATAAAAAAAAAAAAACACTCTTCTGACCATATCCTTTCCCAAATCCCACGACGCAGTTTTCCTTTTTGCTTAGGGCCCTCTTCAAACACTGTCAATTGAGTCCATGCTGGGCCTCCGGAGCAACTTTGAATCCTACTGCAAACACATAGTCCGAGTGCCTCAGCACCTAAAGTCGCCTGGCCCTATGCAAGGGACTTTTGGGTGATTCTCTACATCAAGTTAATTGAGACATTGTTTATGGGGTATCCCCCTGTTATGCAGGGTTTCTTGTGATGCATTTATGAACACAGAACAAAAGGCAGCTTAGCAGAGCTAGCGCAATACCAAATATAGCACCAACAAAGGAGATATTGACCATTCAACCAAGTCGAACAAAGATCACTGAAAGGCACTGGAGCCGAATTCTTCCATCGAAGTTATATAAACCCTCTAGATATCCCGAGAAAGGGCTCACCTCCAACTATCATTCTCGCCATCCGCACTCCTTCGTCACATCTACCCGGAGCAAATCGAAAAACTCGTGAAAATGAAATTCTCTCAGCTCGTTGTTGCCATCGCTACGATGCTCTCGGTTCCTGCGGTGGACGCTTGCAAATGCTGGTATTCTAAACGCGATCAAAACACCGATGCGACGACCTATTGCTGCGAGGTTTGGGGCGGGAAGCTTGTAAAGACCGTCGAACGTGGTGTTGAAAGATGGGATTGCAATGCCGGTTCGATTTCCGAGGATATGTCAGGCTTCGGGCGTTGCTGCGGTCATTATAAGGCCGAATCCGACTGCCTCCGGTAGAATGCTGCTTCACGGTACACGCATTCCGATCAGCGTAAGTAATCAATTCTGTTGGTGGAGATGATGTGCACTAAGAGATTTGGAGGATGGTAGACCTGGAACCTTCCAGAGTATAATCTTTGCTTCGCCGTCGACACTGGTGGCCCTTGTTTCTGAACGTCCGGTTCAACGCAAGCTTATCCAACCAAACGGGATCTGCATGATGTTGATGCCTGCCTAAACGAAGATTCTGGGATTCGACTGGAGGGTGGGAAGAGATGTTGCCGTGCCAGAATCCTGCTTCTTTGTACTTTGGAATTTTTGAGATTTGTTTTGGTGGATGTATATTAGTGAAACATACTGTTGGGCTTTGAGCTTTGACCTATAACTATCTGTTTGATATACTCCGTAAGCTCTTGCGGAATTATAATTAGATCACTATTGTTTGGGACTGACCTGCTGCAGAGGCACTCCTCAGCAGATGATTATTGCTTTCATCTTCGATTTTCAGGGTTGGTTTCAGATAAGGCTGGAAATGAAACCTATCAAAAGCTGTTCCAATAATTGCACTAGGGCTTCATTGGATAGTATCCGGTAGCTGATATATGAACATATAACATACAGCAAAGTCAAGCAGACCCTTTTTGCTGTTACCTTTTTGAATGGATTGAAAGCATGTTTAGTTATGGAAAGCAGGTACTCCATACACTAAATATATCACATGGACGTGAACAACTGCAGTACACAGTACTCTCTAGTTAATAGTTTTTTGGTGGATGTGTTAAACAAGTGCCAAAACTACGGAGTACGGAGTAGTGGTTATCTATTATTAGCCATTGCTGATTAAGCAAACAATCACCTCCATCTTCGTTGCCCCTGTTACTCCGTACATCTTGGGTTGTCGAATTCGCAAGCCTGGAGACATGGGCCGAACGCGCAGGTTGAGACGAGGGGACGTAACGTACTCCTGGGCAAGCAAGGAGGAGACCAACATTCTCATTGCCCTTAAAGACCACAAAAAGACACTTAAACTCTTCTCGCATTTCCTGAAACACGCGACTTGATCCGTGAAGCTGCTGCCCACCATCTGGGCGTGTTTCCAGAACAATGCGAGTTAATCGGACCAAAGGGCTGGCTATTCGGAAGTTTCAACGTTTGTATTCCAATCACTGTGCCCGGTCGCAAGGTGTTGATGCGGTTTCCGATCCTGCACCGAGTTGGTGAAGATTTTCGACCAGGCAATGCAGACGAGAAGATCCGATGCGAAGCGGGTACTTATGCATGGCTGAAAGGAAATTGCCCGTCAATCCCTATTCCAAAGCTATATGGGTTTGCTTTATCCACCGGCCAAAGTGTACGAGGTCATCAGAGGCCCCTTTTGTGAGACGTCTCAACTGATGGATGCAGTTCACAGCAGTCGAGAATTTACCAGCCTTGTCGAGGTGGTTCCACTACCTTCATTGTCGGATACTCAGACTATGCAGATATGAAATTCCAACCGACTATGTCCCCCATAAGGGACCATGTTTGGGTGCTCTCAAAGCCGGCTATATGCTGATTGAATATATAGAGGAGACTCGCAATGCTTTCTTACACATGGGACGACAACCGGGATAATAAAGATCTCCGTACCAACCTTTTCAGGGGTCTGTCGCAAGTACTACTAGCGCTCGCCAGAGTCCCTGTTCCCCGAATTGGCTCCTTTACTATTAATGAAAACGGCTTCCTAGTTCTGAACAATAGACCACTCTCATTGGAACTCCACCAGCTAGAGAGTGAGCAGATTCCAGTGGACATTTCTCGGAACATGACATATTCATCAGTTGACTCTTATGTGACTGACACGCTTGCTTTCCATGACAGCCGGCTGCATTATCAACCAAATGCTGTCAATGATATATTTGATGGTGCCTATCAAGCACCTGCTTTGACTGTCATGAAGGCCACAGCCTCGCATTTCTTCAGCCGTGACCTCCGTCACGGTCCTTTTGTCTATGTATTGAATGATATACATCAGAGCAATATTCTGGTTGATGAGAACTGGAATATCACATGCCTCATTGATTTGGAGTGGGCATGCGCTCGACCAATTGAAATGCTGCATCCTCCTCACTGGCTTACTAGCCAGAGTGTTGATACAATTGATCTTGATCTCTTCACTCCGCTGCATCAGGAATTTGTTGACATTCTCGAGGGACAGGAGAGTGATGATGAGGACATGTCAATCTCTGCCCTCATGAAACGAGGATGGCATAACAAGGCATTTTGGTTTTCATTAGCCCTCATGAGCCCAACAGGCATTTTTGCACTATTTCACGATCACATCCGGCCACGATTCACAGACCATGAGAATGAGAAGGGCTACTTCCAAGCAGTCTTGAAGCATTACTGGACACCTGGCATGGAAGCTTTCTTGACAAGGAAAGTGGAAGAGAAAATAGCATATGATAAGAAACTTCGAGCAGAGTTTGATGTTGAAGTCACAGGATAAATGCTCCGTTGTGACCTCGTTGATTATTTGCCTCTTCGTCCTCTCTTTTCGCTTGATGCGCTTGATGGGCCTCAGGTTCTGCCTTGGCTTAAGCTTGGGTTGACGAAACTCTTTCCCATAAACTCCGTCGCTTTTGGGAGCGTGGCGCTCCGTTTAACCCTTTGCTCAGGACGCCCTAGATGGCCAACGAAGAGCTTCCCTTCTGACGCTGAAAGTTCAGGCGAGGCTAATCCTATTTCTTTCTGCGCTGTAAGGAGTATTTATTCTATTCAAAGATTGCTGCCTACATACTCCGTACTTTGATTTAGATTCTAAATTCTGCGCAATGGGCCAATTTAACCGGCGTCTGGGTGGAAATGTTTCGAGGCACAATGCGGATTGACGTGCCCTTCGGATCTTGTCGGTGAAGTCTTCCAAGTCGAGTGCCGTTCTATCGAACGATATTTCGGGAATATTCTTGGGTTCCCTTGTGCGTGTTTTACGGGGTTCCTTTATGACCAATTCTCTGTAACAGTGGGTGGTAAATAATTGACCATAATGATTCAATCATTGGGCGGTTGCAGGTGGAGACTGGATTTCCCTTTCTAGTTATTGTCATTGGGTTGGCCCGTAGAAGCCTAACTATTAACTAGTTACGCCGCGAGGGCCCGACCTCACATATTACATCAAGCAGCGTCCAGTCAAAAGAGGGTAGAATGGGTGGTTACAATCAAGCTATTCATCTAATCTTCGGAGCTAAAGTATTCGAACCAGCACGATGGCTCTGAATTCTTGTCAATGTTGCCCATTAGAATGGATACAAACACCAGGGTTGGTTCTGGTCGTCACTGTTGGCTGGTGTGGCTGGGATGAACAATTGGCGTTTCCTCTGAAACAGAGCTTCCTCTAGGTTGGAGCTCAAACGTCGAGGGTGAGCACGAGAAGACAGTAACCAGCCAACAAGTTCTTCTTGTTGTCACGCCCAGAACAATGTTAAAGGGTATTTCTACCTTTCAGGTGCATAGACAAAGGTTGAGGTTCTTTTCAGTTCTCACCTCTTGGGGCAGCGACGCCCAAATACGGACTCCAAAAATTTACATTGAGAGGTCTGACGGCACCGGTGAGGCATGCTCTTATCTCCCTTGACATCCTTCACGCGAACGCCATTAACTCTTTGTTAGAGGAACGTGCTACGGTAGAAGACATATTCAGATATAGCCGACACAGATGGTTGTGAGTTCCTTTTTTTTCCGGTACGGACATTCGAGCTTCAACTCACCAACGGATAGGTTCAATGAGGAGAAAGAGCTTTCGCAGCGTTATCTAAGATTTGACCTTCAGAAACTTGTTGACATTGCTATTGAGGCTGCCGGCGATGGCGCACAATGCTGTAAGTGTTGCCGCTCCCCGTTCTTCAGTACCAGGCGTACTTATGCATTCGTATAGGTACGAAGGTGTTGAAATGTGTTGAGGGGCTTCATAACAAGGCTTTGCTTCTGACAATGGACAATGGCAAGGAAGTATTTGCAAAGCTTCCAAATCCCAATGCTGGCCCTGCACGATATGTGACCGCATCAGAGGTCGCTACAAGGGAATTTGTCAGTCACCTGTTGTTCAACTCAAGCCAACGATCTGACCGCATCTATTTAGCTCCGTGAGGTTGTCAAATTACCTATTCCTCAGGCTTTTGCGTGGTCGTGTGATCCAGAAAACCCAGTTGGAGCCGAGTATATCATCGAGGAGAAAGCCCCCGGTACGAGCTTGGGAAGTTTGTGGCACCGCTGGCCTCGAGAATCAAAGCTTAGGGTGATTAAACAAATTGTTGACATTGAACATACGCTTACAACGATCAAATTCACCAAACATGGCTCTCTTTATTTCAAAGGAGATCTGCCTGATTCTTTTCAGGGAAAGAGTGACAATCTATCAGTTGAGACATCTAGACAGCCGGCCACTCTAGGCCGCTACGCTATTGGGCCCCTTTCCAATGCAGAACTCTGGCGAAGCGGCCGAGAAACTATGAATCTGGATAGAGGGCCTTGTAAGTATCAATTGTGGTTATATCTTATATATTCACTTTCTAACTAGGCAAATGTAGGGCGACGACCTGAGGATTATGCAAAGGCTATGGGAAACAATGAAATAGCGTGGATCAAAAAATATGCATCTCCTCGAATGAACTACTATGTATCTCTCAAAGATCCTGAGCTCCCTGACCAGGCGCTTGCCCTTCTCTTGAAATATCTGGAAGCTATCCCCCATCTGATCCCCAATGACCCTGAAGCTGCTACAAATGTCCTCTGGCATCCCGATCTCCATCTCGACAACGTTTTCGTTGATCCAGCAACAGGTAAAATTACCAGCATAATTGACTGGCAAGGTGCTAGTGTTGCACCAATGTTTTACCAATCCTGTGTACCTAGGATGTTCAGGCATTATGGTCCAGTTCGAGAAGGCTGGGTTGTCCCATCACGACCAGACAATTTCGATACGTTGGGCGCTGAAGACCAAGCACGAGTCGACCAAGAGTTGGAGAATGAAACGATGCACAAATATTATGAAGCAATGGTTGCTAAACACGCTCCTCATCACTGGAGAATATTAAATCAGCAAAGAGATATCAATCACAGACGCAGGCCAACATGGCTTGTGACTGGAGTGTGGGAGAACAAGGATCTTTTCTTCCTGCGTTATAGTTTGATTTCCATTGCGGCTTTATGGGACAGGCTGCGACCTGATGAGATGACAGAATGTCCGGTTAATTTCACACCGGAAGACCTGTATCGTCATACCAAAGAGGATGAAAATATGACTGGGATTGGAAAGATGCTCAAACTATTTCGAGACCAGGAAGTTTTACCTGTGGATGGGATGGTCGACCCAGAGGATATTGAGGCGGCGAAGATGAACTCTCAGAAATTCAAGGATGTATTCGTTGGACTGGCAAAGGATGAGGAAGAAAGAGAGCTTTTCTCGAAGCTCTGGCCATACCAAGACCAAGAATGCGAGTAAATTGTCAACTTCAACATTAAGGGAAAACATCAGAGTAGTTTCTACTCTTGTGCTGTTTTTGGTCACAAGTCGAAACAAGGTGAACTCAATTTGCATATGAGGCAGAGGAGAATTGGGATATGTTATCTTATTTTGGTCGGCGAACCCTTCCGGATTCTTACTGGCATGATCCTGTTCAACAGCCTGCCGCCAGAGCAAAGGGCAAATTAGGAACAAGTTGGACACTCTATATTTATCCCAAAGAGCTTTGGTCGGAACATTTACGGGAAGGATTTCTCCTCATTAGTGATGTTTAGTAGAGGGTAGCGGATGTAGACCTAATATCATCCTAACAGCGCAGCTGTACAGAGTTAACCCAGATCGATATCGAATGATTTTGGGGATGCTGTCTGGAACACACTGGACTGAAATTCCTGGTCTACGTGGCATTTGAGAGCCAATCAATATACTCGGGACAGAGTATTCCTCATCGACTGGTTTAAGCTTCGATTCTCAAGGTTGATTCTGAGCCATCTGTTCTGCGAGATCTGACAGGTCCGTGTCTTCCACGTTGTCTCATCCTCTCTGTTGTGGGCCGGGAAGGGCAATTTCTCGGAAGGTTTATTTGTTGCAGGATGTAAATAGAAATGACACAGCAACAACAAAAAACCAATCTCGATTCAGAGCTGTTCTGTGTCGAGGGCACCAAGGTTAGTTAGTTACCCAGTTCATACTACTTCGCGGTCCGAGGAGTTTGCTCAGGACGAAGCGTTGAGAAAATGGCGTTGTCCAACGTTTCTCTGGTCTCCCCGCAGTTGCGGTCAGCGAGGGTTGCGGCAGGGTGTGTGGCTGGAAAACATGGCGCCGGCGCGGAGAAAATCTTGCCACTAACGTTGAACTATTGACAGCCTTCGAGGGTGCGTGGCGTTTGTGGGCTTAATGGCACCCATGCTGGCGAAATTTCCCGCAAATACGGAAGTACGATGACAGCGAGTCGGCCCATGAAGTCGCTCTGGGATGTGCTGATATTGGTTACTTTCCAGCGTCGGTAAACAAGAGGCTGAAACCGCCCGTTCGACCACGATGTCCAGCTGCAAGATCTCTTTTAATAGATTGTTGTTTTGATTTCTAGGCCCTGATCGCCGGCGCTCCGAGTGGTGTCTCTTAACGAGATGCGCCAGATGTGCGGCGGGCTTTGCTTGGCGGTGCGCACTGATTAGTTGCGGTCCGCCTGGAGGTTCCGGGGCTGAGGTTACGTTTCTTCGCCCCCCCCGGACGAAATGCCAGATGACTGGCGAACTCGCTGCGAAACAGCCTGCCGACTCACGAGCCTCCGCCACGGCCCACGACCCCACGGTTGCGCATCGAAGGAGAGTACTTAGGGATGTGGCCTCCGCTTCACGTTGGAAATAATGTTTTGTTGTTGTCGCCAGCAACTGTCCATAGTAACGTCTCGGTTACCGTTGCTTCTCGCGTGGGAACTGTCAACTGTGCGCTGCCCGGACTTCCCCCACGGCTGCGGGCGTGGAGTGGAGTTTCTTTGTTTTTTTCTCGGCCCCATTTCCACCACTAAGTTACTGCCGCAGGGTATATTAGTTTGCGAGCAGGGACGTGCTCCAAACAACCTCCCACTCTCTTCTTCATATCCTGTCACCTGAGCGTCTGTGTTTGTTGATTGAACTTGTATCTTTATCGGTTTCTCCGTATTACTTAGGCTGAATGAAAACATTGCCGTTGACTTTGCCGCTGTACCTCTCGCCCCGTCGCCCGCGTCATTACGTCAACCATTAGCCCTCAGCCATCCGCCCGCAACAACGTGCGCGCAGGAGGCCGTCATTGAAACCGCCAGCGACGTTTTTATCCTTACCGTCTTTTTCATTCCGATCAGGCCAGACGCGCGATGCCGTTTTCGAAGATATCCAAGTCACTATAGCATCCGAAATCGGGTGGTCGTCTTGCTCTGCGTGCTATCCGGCTAGGAATGCAGTCGATCGGTCCCACGGTATCGCGCCAGAAATAGCCTATCTCTATATGTCATGACAGTTGACTATCCTGGGAAATTTGGTGGTTGGAACGGTGCCTTGACGTCCAACAGGCAGAGAATGAAGCCGGCTAGGTTTGTCTTTCCCGTGGTTCCCCCCATCTGCGGACCGTGAGCTCATGCGATGTCGTCTCCCTAAGATCGCAATCGTCGGGAAGCTTCTTGAGTCTAGATGACGTTCATGCCGGCCCCGGAGGGTTTTCAACCTCGCTCTCCTCGAAACATGAATCCAACCCGTCTCCGTCCAAGCACAGCATTCGCTCGCACAAATCTCCCGCGTCGACACACTCAGCGCAGGCCGAAATGGGCCTGCCCGTCGGGTATCGCCCGGATCCGTTGGAGAAGAGGACGAGGTGTAAGAACAAGGTCCATATGCTTCCGCATCGGAAGAAGTCATCCCAAGATCGATCGGCGTCGCTCGACCTCAATCTCTCCGCCGTTGAGAACGAAGGGCTGGGCATATACACAAACCTGGACCGCGACCAACGATATGGCGATGCGTACGTCACAGCAGCACGCTTAGCGGGGTCAGTCGGCCATAACCGCTCGATTAGCGGCAACTCCCAGTACTCTACCACCTTGACAATGTCAACCGCGAATAACAAGCCTGGCTCACAATATGTTCACCCGATGCGACAAACCCCGCGCCCGCGCACCCCTATCAGTCGATCACATCAAAATTCCACCAATGACAGTGCCTCCGATACACTGCAATTCCCAGATCTCGATGTCCAAACCACTATCAATAGCCGGGAGCCATTCAACCAATCTTCCTCTCTAAATTCCAACATGGAACCGCGTCGCTCTTTCAACGTCCAGCGAGAATTGCGCCAGACGTCCTCGCAAACCAATGTCGGGAGAACTTCTTCGTCTTTCAGTCGCGCACTAGACAACAACAGCGCACAGGAGACCATTTCGCCTGTCTCCAGAAGCTCGCTTGAATTTGCATTCCGTTCCAAGAGCCGCCCCAGCACAACCGACCCCGTGGCGCGCGCAGCAGCTATTCAGGCCGCCCGGCAGGCTTTTGAAGATCGAGAAGCCGCCAAATCGCGCAAGCATGAGCAACGACACATGAAAGCGCAGGATCGAGAATTACGACGCCTAGAGCAAAAAGAACACCATCAAAGCTCTGGAAAAGCGCCACGTCTCGCAGACTTCACTTTCCGAAACCAAAAGCTTAACGAAAAAGCCGCGAATCCGGATAGCCAGGGCCGATCTGGACACGGCGCTGGATATCGAAACGAAGAGGAAAAAGCCGGATTCAAGCTTAAAAGCCCGAAGAGTGCGTGGCTGCTTTTCCTAACGTGGCTTCGGACCCGGATCTTCAAGATGGGGAAGAAGATCAAGAAGATGAGCTAGACGAATGAGATATATGCGTTGATAGATGGAATCTACACGGCTTTTCCTTTTTATTTACGGCCCTACGCGTCCCCGATGTGCCCTGGTTTGGCAACGCGACGACTAAAGGATGGGGTTCGAGGCGTTTTTCTGAAGGGTACTATCGGCGTTTCATTGTTTCGGCTGGGGATGTGATTTCCTCGCTAGTATCCTTTTCTTCTTGTTTATTGTTTCTGGCTGCGTTTTACTTCTGGGGTTATCGGGCCTTGAGGTGTTTAAACTGCCTTTGTTTTGCTCCCTTTGCCGTGTACTCCTTCCCGTTCGCAAGTGTGGGAGGAAATCTACCTATCGTTACATGGAGATGTCAGCCTCGAAAGGGGAGTATAAGGCAGTCGGTTCACTTGTGTTGTGCTCCTGCTTTATCGTGTTAGAATAGCATCTGCATCTGGAGAATTTGATATTATTTAGTTACATTATTGTTCTACTTTGTACAAGACGTCCGCTATGTAGGTATCTGACTCCATGTGAAGTCGCTAGTTACAGCGTTCAAACGGCGAACCGAGGCAACAGTGAGTAAAAGTAGTCGGCCAATCACTGCTCGTTATCTCATCTTACATAATTTCTTTTGGTTAGTCAGCTGCATGTCACCTGACGGGCACTCTACGGCAGATCAGGAAAGCTCCTTCTTCACCAGCAAGGTATTACGGTGGACCACGCGACCCAGTCTACGCCGCGAGGACCTGAGCAGCTCTCAGCAAAGATGGTGTACGATTGGGAAGGCAAGCGGGATGTCTGCTACAAGATGTACATTGAGGAGAAGAGGGCGCTCGAGGATATCATGGAATATATGAGAACAACGCATCAATTCGCCCCAAGGTGCGTGGCATGCAGTGAGATTCGAAGAACCATGGAATTTTCAGAACAAACAGGGCGCTAACCTCTTTTTCATTTTCTTTTTCTAGTAAACGAGCTTTTCAGACACAATTCAAGCGATGGGGTTTTCCGTCGAAGCAGAATCCTGCGCATAAAAATCCCCATCTGGTTGCGCGGGTGAAGCAGCTATGGGAGACCAACACGATGCAGCGCGATATGCTGCGGATACTCAACGAGGAAGGGTACCCCATCAAGGAGCGCGAATTGATGCGGTTACGAGCGAAGAATCGATGGCTGTTGAGAGTTCCCAATGGCATGAAATCGTACCGAGAGAATGGCCCCGTGTCCACCGCGACGACGACGGAGGAAGATGGTTCGGCGGAGGGGATTCCGCTCGATGAGGGACAGCAGACTGTGGGTAGTGATGTAAGATACTTGGCGGATGTTGCTGCTTCTGCTGCTGCTACTGCTACTCCTGTGGGAGAGCCAGAAGAGATGCTTAAGCGACAGGAGAGACTTTCGCGATTGCAGGCGGAAAGTGACGAGAGGTGGGCGACGAAGAAGCGGCGACGGCGGACTCGAGGGTGGGCTGGGCTGCCGGCAGATCCTCCGGGGCCGCCACGGTTTCCCTCTGAGACTACGCTCGATGAAAGTAAAAAGATTTTAAGCCTGGATGATACGATGTATCGACAGCTTCGAGATCGGTTTCACCGGATATGCGAAGAGGCTGGGTTCATCAAGAAGACGATTGCCGGGCCGGAACGGTGGCAGGAAGCGAAAGACAGATTGATACGGGAATCTCAACATCTACGGAGTGTTTTCTGGGGGGAGTCGTTGGAAACGAAGGCTCTTGCGCTGGACGTTATCTGCACGGATGTGACGAAGCGAATGCGCACGCTGGAAAGTAGGATGACGATAGCGGAGGCGAAGAATGCGCTAGGTATAAACCCGGAAGAGAGCAGACAAATACGCAATACCTTTTATGACACTTTGAAAGCCGATCATTTCACAAGCAAGCTTGAAATGGGCGATGAGCGTTGGAGCGAGCTCAAACAGCAGTGGATACAGGGCTCGGAGCTCCTACAGCGCATTCTTAGCCCTGGAGCCGCCGATCCCCAACATGCACAGAAAGCTAGAGCGGTAGAGGTTCTCTGTCGAGACGTCATGAAGCGCCTGCGAGACGACCAAGCCAAGCGCGATCCATCCAAACGGCAATTCACGCAAAATCGCACCGCCCGCCTCCCTCAATCTAGGGCGTCAACCGCCTTTGCCAACGGGGTCAGCACGCTTGCGTCTCAAGCCCTGGCTAGCTCTCGGATAGCCAACGGTGAACTTAACGGCATACAAATCGACCCATCACTCATCCAAGCTGTCACAAACACCACTGCTACCTCCTCCTCCGCCGATCCGTCCTTCTCCCTCGCCCATCCCCAGCCAGACGCCCAGCAGTCTTTTGGATACTCCAATCCTATTTTAGCCGCCAGCTCCATGATACCTGTTTTCCTCCGCATCCATCCCCAATCGCAAATCCACCAAGACGCCAAAACGTGGATAAGCAAGCTTAATTCACGCTCGGTAGATGAGCTACGAATGCTGGCGCTGATGAAGTTCAAAGACGCGCGTGTGGCGCGGATCGAGGGCACGGTCAAAGACGAGGACGGGAGGGACATTCCGTTTTTGATAACTGAAGATCATGAGCTGGATGCGTATCTCACACATGTTCAGGGACGGACGGCAACGTTTTTATTCTGTTTACAGCCAGCGCAGTAAGGTGTTTGATTATATAGGACTCCGGAGTAGCCAACGACATAATACCCCCTTTCTTATTAGCAGTTCCTCAATTGATATAGCCCGCGTTAAAGTCTGCATTTAAGAGGTTCACAAATCACCCCCGGGTGGCCGGACGCTTATAGACAGCAGAAAAGGAGGCCGAACGAGGTTTACCTCCAAAGAGGATGGTGTACAGGCTGCCACCGGCATTTTGGTTGTCTTGTTTGGCACACCCTGTTGCTTTGCAATAGTAGCAACCGCCCGTTTCACTTGGCTAAAGTGGCTATGATAGATATCATTTCTAATTCCTAACAGGAACTCTTGTTCACAAACTCAGATCCTTCCAGGATATAGTTAAGCAACTTACTACAGAGACAAAGGGAGTGGCAGGCCATGTCCTTTCCGGAAGCTTGTCACTTTGGCGAGAGATCACATTTCACTGTGCCTGAGAATATTGATTAGCTGCTATTTGATGAAGAGCCACTTGTGATAGCATGCGGGGTAATGATCTTGAAACGCGAGTTTGCTGACAAGTTTGAGGCCCAACAGCTTCAGCTCTCTTCACTCACCTGGATGATTCTCTCTTGAGCAGTATCTTACTGCTGTCTTCTAGTTCATTTCATCATTTCTGTTATTATTGCTGTTATCTTCCCCCTCCCTATCCCGTGGTCAAACATCACATCATAGGTGGGGCATTCATATAGCCCCCTCTAGCAAGCCTATTAAGCTGACTAGCTGGTGGGTTAACGACTCTCTTCTCACACAATCTCTCCTTCTAATCAGCAACTGTGTTTACCTGTTGCAAATCATTCTTGCAAGCCCGTTTCATTCCTTCCTGACAGGCTAGCCTAGCAGTCATGGCTTGGTCAACCTCTACCCTGATCGCAACCACCTGTCTCCTCGTCCTCATTTTCGCCCATCCCACTGTCGCCTTTGGCGCCGGCAACATCGCATCCCTGTCCCGCATCGAGGGTCAGAACTGGCGACATGGAGATATCGAGGATGTGCTTCTCACCTTGGCTATGGCGCGCGTTGCTGGGGGCAGGAAATTCTCCAAACTCGATGTGCAGAGGGTATACTTCGGCAATTGGCTGCGGGATTACAGTCAGGCAATAGATGTTGGAACTGTGAAATATGTCAGTGCTGAGGCAATTCGACTGATGCTTTGGGTTTTGGGTTTTATGAGCTTTGGGTAAGGGGGGAATCGTTGCGCGAAACTATTGATTTTATTTGCTCATCTTGATGGCAGGTATGGAACTGGTGAATTCGAAGTGACTACTGAACGTCTCGGAACATACCAACCCACCGAGCATATTGATAATCCCTTGGGGTATGCCGAGGGTGATGATGCCCGTCGTTACGATAGGCGCCTTCGAGGTCCTGTCGACGCAAACCTTGAGTTGTCGATTGATCCCCGCACCGGTAAGTTGTCCTTCATCCCGCTACGTACTTGGTTGCTTTCATATGTGTGTAACCGTCCCCGTTTCTAGGCCTCAAGAATTACATCGCCTCTGAAGATGTCGGTATCGCAACATCAGCCGGGCTGCTACGGAGCATCTTTGGTAGATGTATTGAACTTGGCCGCAGCTATGGGCGATCCGGTGATAAATCAGAATTGCATGAAGCGCTACGTCTCCTTGGGACCGGCCTGCACTGCTTAGAGGACTATGCGGCGCACTCTAATTTCACCGAGCTCTGCCTGATTGAGATGGGTGAGCAATATGTTTTCCCACATGTTGGTCGACAAACGATGATCCAGCTTCCTGGAACTCAGCGTCCAGTTTACCCGATTGTTACCGGCACTTTTGGCGGGGTAGACTTCCTGCACTCGGTTATGGGAGAATTCTCTGATAAAGCTACCCAGTCAGAAATTCAGTCTCTTGAAGGTGTTATGGAGCAATCCCAGAGCGAAGGATCCAGCAAGAGCTTTCTTCAAGAATTGCTTGCTAAAATACCGTCTGATATCTTTGGCGGGGAAGATAATTCGGGGAAGATGGACGAGTTTCAATCCAACGCCCAAGCTCAACAACAATCACACCCAAATATATCTCCAAGAGAACCGGAGGAGTGGGCTCTCTATTTGGATAACGTCAAAGCCCAGATCTACCCGATTTTGGAATGGCACGACAATTTGATGAAAACGATTAGCGAAGCAATCGAGAAATTGCCAATGATTTCCGATCTCATTGAGCAAATCCAAAACGAAATCAATGTTTTCGTGTTCTCCGTTATTGCTCCATACATTATTCCAGTCATCAACCAGGTCAAGTCGGAGCTAGAGACTGGCTCGTCGGAAGTTATCCAGAGCAGTAAACAACAACAGCACAACATCTTCAATGATGACTATTGCACTGACCCAACTCACTCAATGTTATCCAAAGATCACTTTTCAAACGTGCTGAATGAACCGGCTGGAAAGGTAGCCCAAGAAGTTGTGAGATGGGCTGTTCCCCAGATCATGCAAGCGTGGGACGATGACTACATTGACATTAATCGTACCTTGACTCGGATTATCCATGGCGTCTTCCATCATCCCGCCTATCGCGATTATGGAGAGGATGGGCAAGCTGATATCCGAGGGCTCATGTTTGGTGCTGTCGAGAAATGGTGGAGTGAGCAGGGTGGGCGTGGCCAGGACTCCCTCAGAGCACAGCTAAGCCGCGAAGGTATTAGAAACGGTGATAACCACAAGCCTGGTGTCCGGGATACCGGTCATGGATGTGGTAAGCCATTAGCTCTCCCTAAACACAAGTCTAAAAAGTCTAGTGGGATCCCCAACGTTTTGGGCGGACTTTCAGGCAGTGGCCGTTCTCAGGATGCAGATGAATTGGCAAAGATGGCTAAGAAAGCAGTCGGAGGAGGTGTCCTTGGTGACTTGGTTGGCGGTATTGTGACCGGTGCAGGAGCTGAGATTCTTGCCGGAGGGTCAGGCTACGGTGGTGGCGAGTATGTAGCGGATGAGTATAAAAAGGAGAAAGAGAAGAAAGAGAAGAAGGAAAAGAAGGAGAAAAAGAGCAAAAAGTATGATGATGGCGATGAGGATGAATATAAGAAGAAGAAGTATAAGGATTACGACGATGAAGATGATGGGTACAAGAAGAAGAAGAAAGACAAAAAGTACAAAGACGATGAGGGTGACTACGAGAAGAAGTATAAAAAATACGATGAGGATGACGACGACGACGAGGGCGAGGACGGGTACAAGAAGAAAAAAAAAGACAAGAAGCACAAGGACGATGATGACCACAAGAAGTACAAACATGAAAAAGAAACATAGCGAACAAGAGTCTTATCCAACGTATGGACGCTCTGGGTATCAGCAGGAATCTTATGGTACCGCACGCCAGGGTGGATATGACTATGAACAACCCCGATATGGCCGCGAGGACTCATACAAACGTCAAGACGAATATTCCAGGCCTGCCGAATACCAGCAAAGTGCAGGATATGGAGAGAATCAATATGGCAGCGAATACAATCAGCGAAGGTACTGCACCTATTCACATAGCTTATACTGAATATATACTAAATGTGGATAGGGCCTATGGTTCGGAAGACAGACAAGAATATCGTCAGCAATATGGCGGAGATGACTCGTTTAGGCGACAACGGTCAAAATCACGCGAAAGACAGTCAAGGCAATACGAGGCTGGACACTACGGAGGCCGGGACCAGAAGCGTCATGGCAGCGAGGAGAGAGAATATGGTGACAAGTATGGTCATCACTCCTATCAGAATCGATACGATGAGGGTGATGATTCTGGAGAGGATCATGGCCGTCGCAAGCACCGTCACCATCATCGACGAGATTCGAGTGATTAGGCTGCGCTTGATCTGATCCAGATATAACTTGAAGTGGCCAGGAATTAGCTAGTTAGTTCACATTGATGGTAGATGTTTAGTTTGGCAAACCTGGAAATGTTGCTATGATGTAGTTAACTAGTGATAGCAAACAAGACCGGTAACACTACTCCCATCTCGAGAAGATATGAAGTAACTCCTCCATCTCAAGTGCAGAATCCATGGAGCCATGTCATGTGTTAACTAGTTAGATGCGTGAAGAGTCGCAATTCCACAAGCCACAGTGCGAAAGCGTGCCCACCGCCAACACCGAAACTCACAAGGCCAATGTAACTACAAAGTTATGTAGTCAACTCGCCTGGTAACAATCAACCATCCTCCATCTTTAACAACATCGAAATCAAAGGAGCCTAACATGAGTCTGAAGAAGGAAAAGCAATAACATTTCTATTTCCAGTCTTGGTGCCATGGCACGCCAGAGAGGCACCTCAAATGCCTCCTCCCAGTCATCTCTTCCGGAGCAGAACCAGGTGAAGAAACCCCGCACGAACTGGAGAATATTCCGACGGCTCTCAGCACGGTCTATGCTAATTGCTCTCGTACTTAGGAGCTAGGGAGTATGTACGACTACTTAGCAAAGGTCATTCTCTTGGGCCCGAGTGGTGCTGGAAAGTTCGTTCAAAGCCTCTACGCTGCATATGCACACTGTTGGGAGGAACTGACATGTGAACCCCAGGTCATGCTTGCTGCATAGGTTTGTGAAGAATGAGTGTATGCTTTATCTTTTGCGCTTTTAGGATATCCCCCTGCTTGTTAGATGGAGGCGCTGATTTGCAGAAATATCGAATAGGGAGAGTTCTCTCTTCTCAAACCATCGGCGTCGAGTTCTCCTCCAAGATTGTCAAAGTCGGAACCGGTTCGCGAAGGAAAAGGATAAAGCTACAACTCTGGGACACTGCTGGGACAGAACGTTTCCGTTCCGTGTCACGCTCGTACTACCGCGGTGCAGCCGGGGCCATTTTAATATACGATGTCGCCTCTCTCGCCTCCTTCAATGCGCTCCCTACCTTCTTACTCGATGCTCGCGCGCTGGCATCGCCGAACCTAACCGTATTACTGGCGGGGAATAAGAGTGATTTGATAACAGACCCTATGGCCCATGGGGACTATTGGGAAGATGGCCAAAGAATACCCGCCACTCCCACCAGCACATCCAGCAAACAATCGCCGTTTCCGTTTGATTCCGGCGGCGGGTCTGTTCGCTCGATAAATAGCCCGATTGCGGGGACTAGGATGACAGCGACGGTTGCGCATGACCATGAGGTATCTCTGGAAGACGCGTCGCGATGGGCTGCCAGAAATAACATCCCGGTTGCCGTGGAAGTATCCGCGCTTTCTGGCGAATGTGTAGAAGAGCTCTTTACTCGGCTAGCACGGATAATTCTGACCAAGATTGAGCTTGGTGAGATCGATCCAGATGATCCCCAGAGTGGAATTCAATACGGAGACATGTTTGGCATGAGCGCCAGTGATGGTGGCAGTATCCGAAGTGGTATCACTGTTGACGATTCCTACGTTCAACTCCACAAAGGGAGGAGTCACCAAAAGAGTGGCAGGTCCTCGGCCTTGCGAGAATGGGAGGATGTTTTCCGGCTGGGTGGCACAACTAGGAGAAAGGGCTGTTGCTGATACTGCGCTGCTACGTCTGTCTTACGAGTTGAGACATTTTTTTGAATTCGCCCAATCTTGAACTTTGGGCTTTGCTTCACCTCTTCCCGGCCAGATTTTCTAGGCCACCAATGCCTTTGCATTGCACACTTGGCTTCTTGCTTTTCTATTGGAATGATACCCCCGTCACATTCGTTATGTTTTCAGTTTAACCCACCGGGATCAAGCACACATCTGTCTTGCATCAGCTGGGGCTGGCTTTCTGCTGTTGAATGTATACGCGCACCTGTTTCTCTGTAGCGAAGTGAATAATACTACAATACTTCCTAATACTAATGATAGTTTGATTGCAGAAGATTGCGCTTGAGTCTTGCGCAGCTTATCTGATTGCCTATGCTTTAATATCAAAGAGAAACTTCAGAGCAGGTGAGATAGTCCGTAGACCCTACCCTATTCAACAAAATCAACTCATGATGTGATCATATATTGGATAGCACTATCGATCACGATCTCAATATATTCTAGCTAATCTTCCACTCCAGCGATCAATGTTTTAATCCCCTTGCCGGCTTTAACCTCCAGAAATGCCTGTTCGGCGTCGGTGAAATCGACGATCTTGGTTATCAACTCTTTCACCCGAATTTTCCCAGATGCAACAAGCTCCAAGGCGAGTTTATAATCGCCACTGCCATATCGGAAGCTTCCTTTTACATTTATCTCTCCCGTACACACAGCCATCATCGGGACGCTGAACTCTGCGCGCCCCATCCCGCCCTGCACGTATGTGCCGCCGCGTCGCAGAGCGTGAATCCCCGTGTGAGCCGAAGCCTCTGCGCCGGATGCGTCAAGCACAACATCAGCTCCCTGGCCCAGGCCATGCAGTTCTTTCAACCTTGTCGCATTTTCCACGGCCGAGACCGATGCTGGCTGGAATGTCCCCGTTGCAGCATACTTTTTCGCAAATTCCAATCGCTCTTGCTGAATATCCACCGCAATGACCTTGGACGCACAAAACGCCCGCGCCACAGCGCAGCATAACAAGCCCACGGGCCCGGCGCCAAACACAACCACCTGATCGCCCGCCCTCACCCCGCCTCGCCTGGTAACGTGCACCGCAACGCCCAACGGCTCCATCAGCGCAGCTTCTTGTAGACTCATCCCCTCTGGAATCTTATAGCAAAAGTCCTCGGGCAACACATAGTACTTTGCCAGCGTGCCGTCATACGGCGGCGTCGCTGCAAAGGCCATGTCGTCGCACAGATTGTATGTGCCGCTCTTGCAAGGGTCACATCGCCGACATGGTATTCCCGGCTCGAGAGCGACGCGGTCACCGGGCTTGAGGGATCTTACGGCTGGGCCGACGGAGGTGATTATGCCGCTGGACTCGTGGCCGAGGACCATGGGCTCCTTGAGGGTGAAGGGGCCAATGACGCCGTGGTCCCAGTAGTGGACCTATGTAAGCTGTACTTAGTCGAATAAAGCCCGTTTTAGTTTCTAAAGAGCTGGTAGGAACACATACATCGCTACCGCAGATGCCAGTGTATTTCACGTTGATCATGACATCGTGGGGGTGCTTGATGGCTGGGAGGGGGCGGTCTTCGAATTTGACCTTTTTGACACTCTCGAGGACAAAAGACAAGTTCTTCTAAGGAGGATAAATGGTGTTAATTGAGTCTGGTCCGGTAATTGTCTTCACATAGGAGGTTGTTGCTTCAGCTCATGGGCAAGCAGCAAGGGTTGGGTAGCTAAGCTCCCATTGACAATGATGTCACTCACCGGGGCAGCCATCACTAAATATTTACTGTGTATTTCAATCCAACTTCATCGATAACGAACTGGTTTCTTTTGAATTTTCTAGAAGCGAAACAGCACTCGAGTTAGTAGTATTATATTAATGGCGTAGCTTTTGTGCCTTGGCCCCGTGGCGAGCTCTTGCTTAAAGCCCGGAAGTGCCCAAAGGTGGGACGGCAGCAACTAAGAACTACGGGGGCCGTTGGTTAAAGCTTCTCGCTAGTACTCCCAGCACCGGAATTTCCAAAACTGGACAAATCGGGCCGGAATCAAACTGGCATCGATGTTGGCCCGCGATTTTGGTCTGAGTAAACGACTTCCGGGATGTTATTTGCTTCCCGTCTCTCGCAAGAATGAATGTGTCTAGGCACTGTAGGAGGAGAAGATTTGAAAAATTGGAAAGCCAGGTTAATGCTGGCTATTGCATTATGCTGCAAAACTGGTATACTCCCGAAATATTCAGTAGAATCGGGGATCTTTGATCTTCTTCACTGTCTATTGCAGGAACCGAACAGTGATCCTATCTTCTTCGCCTTTCTGCAACCCGCGAACACCAATATAAACGACTTCACCAGGGACAAGGTCAACGCAATTGTCTTCAAATCTCACACCCTCAACTTTAGAATACAGCCCCCAAGCCCTTTCACCGGGGACCTTGGCTGATACTTTCAGCTGGGCTGGCGGCGTCGGGACAGAGCAAATTCTTCAGCCCCATTAGAGTACGGCAGATGTGTATACTTCACGGCTCTGCAGTGATGCATCGTGCGATTGCTTTCGTTTTCGAAAAGTAGCTGCAACCACAAGCGAAATGTTGCTTTTCAGCATCTCCAACTACGGGGAGATCATATTCCGTGATTTCAGTGCTGCAATTTTGCTCAAGGGTTACCGGCTCAGGAAGCGTCTCTGAGAGAACCTCTTCCCCTGTGGTAATGTCGAACACTTTGATGACCACTTCAACAGTTTTGGTCTGCAGAGTGAAATTGGAAGCCCATACGTCGATCTTTTCATTCTCTGACCTTGGTAGAGACGCCTTCCCCAGTGGCCGCTTAAGGCCAATCGTGACCGGTGCCAGCTCTCGTTTGATCGCGTAATATGCATGCTTGGGTCGAAGATAATAATCTACGATAGCCCAAGATGTCACTGGCCAACAATCATTCATCTGCCATACCAATGCCCCAGCACAATATTCTCGCCCTGGCCCTTTCCACTGACGCCTCCACGCACGATACGCACTAGCCAAACACTCCGCCTGCATCAACTGCGTACAGTGAATATATTGTTCAAAAGGTTCAAACTGGTACCTGATATTCTCAACCATATACAAAGCCAGCCGTCTTTCGTGGCCAATGGCTTTATTATGAAAGTCAACAGTGGACGACTGGGGGTACCTGTCGTTGTCGTTTTCCCCGCCTGGTAGGTAGGAGTCGATAGTTTCGATGCTTGGAAATCCTTCCATGCCAAATTCTGAAACGAATCTGCCGGACAGTTTGTCAAAGTTTTGATACTTCTCCTGGGTCCCATGCCAGACTAGAATAACGGGTTTAACAAAAGCGCAACCATAAGGCTAAGAAAGGCAAGAGGACGTACCGTTCCATTGATGTATATCTCCCGCCAGTGGATCCGCGCTAGATTTACCTCCCCATGGGGAGCCAAAGTGGTAGTAAGTATCAGGGCTAAGCGTCTTCATCACGTCAGCCAGGAGTTTCTCGTAAATATATCTAGCAGGGAACGTCGACTTGAGCCAGTTAGAGGGATCCTGGTCGCTTGGATTGTACCCCAACTTCTCACTTTCTGCATATTGATAATCTTCGTTGTTCCCAGCCCAGATAACGATGGACGGGTGGTGTCTGAGACGCTTGACGTTGGCAACGGCCTCGCGCTCCACCGTCTCGAGGAAGTTCTTGTACGCTGGATAATTCCCACAGGCAAACAAAAAATCCTGCCACACAAGTATGCCGAGTTCGTCACAGGTATCATAGAAAACTTGCTCTTCAAATATCCCGCCACCCCATACCCGGACCATCACTTGGTTTCCGTCAACAAGTAGCCGGAGCCAATCTCGATACTTCTTTGGGGATATTCGAGGCGTGAAGCTATCCGCTGGAATCCAGTTACTCCCTCCGCAGAAGATGGGAATGTTGTTGATTTCGAAGAAAAACGTTTCACCACCAGCCCCATCTAGCGGCTTCCGCACCACTCGAGCCTGGCGGAGTCCAATGCGCTTAGAAGAGCTATCCAGCTCGTCACCACCTCGCACCAAAGTTGCATGAAGGGTATACAGTGGTTGCCGGCCGTAGTTAGCCGGATACCAGAGTTGAGGATCGCGGATAAGAAAAGTCGCCGTGGCAATGCCGAGATCTATCACAGCCGTTGCTTGCGCTTTCACGCTGTTATGGTGGTGCACCTGTATAATCACTTCATCTGCATCCCCTTCCACTTCGACCGTCACTGTCACTTCCGCATGTTTAAGGGACTTTTCAACGCTGGTTCGACAGTGTATATCGGCAATCCGAGCCGTGAAGACCTCGAGGTTGATAGGTCTCCACGGGCCGCATGTCATCAGCATGGGTCCCCAGTCCCACCCCTGATATCCGGTTCGTCAGCCAATATCATCTGATGTTATGTTGCCCACAAGGTTATCTCACGTAATGATATTGTGCCTTTCTGACGGCACACCTGCTTGGATCCCCATTCCAACAGCCCCATAGGTGTTCTGGATGTTGCCTCTGAAGCTCCTTTCCGATCTGTAAAGCGCTATGAAAAACGATTTCCAATGTATTCTCATCTTCAGCGTCGAGCATGTCGGTCACATCGACTCTTTCCGGCACGAACATGTTTTCCGTCGACAGGATAGTCCTACCGTTTAGTTTGACCGTGGCGTATGTGTCCAAGCCGTCAAATGCGAGGACCGCTTTGCCTGCACTATCGAAGGACGGAGTAGAGAAGGTTGTCCTGTACACCCATGATTCTTCGCCCACCCACTGCACTCTGTCCTCGTTTTTCCCGACAAATGGATCTTCAATGATCCCATGGTGCATAAGATCCAAATGAATGTTTGTCGGGAACTGAGCAACGGGAAGATATTGAATGTCCTCATCAGCTGCTTTTTTGAACACCCAGTTCTGGTCAATCGGGAATGCAACCCGACGAGTAGCGCCGGAATTCATTTTTAGATATTTCAACTATTGAGAAGCAAGACCACCGCCGGCGATGGTGAATTGAGAGGAATTGAGACGCAAAAGAAATGGACCTCAAGGGGAATATTACACACTGTTAAGGGATATCGCATACTTAACTAGTAGCTACCTGTGTCCATCGCGGTCGGCAGAAACCGTCCGGAACTCAAGTGGAAGAAGGTTGAAGCTCCGTTGTTAAAGAGGAAGCTCCCGATGCTATCCCGGAATACGCTTCAAGAGGTCACATCAGAAACGCGGTCTGCGGGATGATTGACTTTGGGATTTGCGTCTAAACTGGTGCTGAAGAGACGCTGGCTTCGATTGAGCTGCAGTGTAACTATCGAGAGAACTTTGGCAAGATTTGCATTGCGAGCGTATGTTAAACAAACTTCAATGCAGTCAATTTTCGTTTTCTGTACTCCGTAACTAACTTTTACGGTTTATATTGTCAAATCGTGTGCAAGCCGGGTGCTTTGGGATCTTCCGAATAAAGGTATTAAATGGCTTCGTACTCGGATATTTACTGCTGCAATCCTCACGCCCATACTCCTTCCAGCAGACCTAGGGGAATCGTTGATTCGACTATCCTGCAATACTCGGTACATAGGTGCGGATCCCGCCCCCAAACCAGATACCCGCACACTCTCCAAACCCTTCATACAGCAAAGTGTCAGAACATGAGATACCTCCTCCACAAAAGCTTCTCAGCTTCCAACTCCTCGGCGTAACTTTTCTCAAAAGCCAGCGCCATCTCCTTCTCGACTCGCCGGTCCCCGAAATACGGCCACACTGCCCTTGTGTACTCCCAGTACTCGGGCTTGAATCCAGCGGCTTCCCAGTCAATAATGCCTACCAGCCGGCCGCCACGGACTTTGATGTTAGTTCTATGAAGATCAGAGTGCGAAAAGACAATTCTATGGTTGTTTCGATAGAGTGCGGATAGTGGAAGTTCGTCTCTGAGGGCTGCTAGGCGGCCTGGACTGAGGTAGTTGAGGAAGTCTATCTTAGAATCAAACGGCCCGTGCAGGCCTCCACCCATCCGATTGTCACGAAAGGCACCGCCTAAGGTATCACAGATCTCGTGGTTGGTGTTATGGCTGCTGGGGATTTGGCGATATTCAGAAATGCACTTTCCCAAGTCCTTTGCGAACTGAGCGCGCTCTTCGTACGTCATTCGATAGAAAACGTCGCTTAGGTCGTCTCCGGGAACCCGTGTCATCAGTAAATAGTTATGCACGGGATGATTGTTAATCCTGAGGTCCGTGTCGTTCACAACAGTGGCATTGATCAGCCGAGGGGCGTTGATCGAGGTGTATTTTTCCACCAAATGAAGCGCATTTGCTTCGCTTTTGGAAACTCTATGGCTAGATTTAAGTACAAGGCCAAATGGCAAAAATTTGATTGCTGAACCCTTTTGGGCGGGGTCGAATTTATCGACTGCTTTATTAACCAGTTTGTACAACTGGACGCATATGACAGTTGGGAGAAGGGCGAACAAGCCTCTTAGAAGAGATCTTGCGACAGCCCCAAGGGGCATTGGATCTAACAAAAAAGGTTAGCGGCGTATATTGACAAGTTCATCCGGTAGTGATATCTGACCGTTGACCAATGGCCATCCTTGATGGATCTGACGCTCAATAGCGAGAAAGTGCAATGGGTGAGAGAGGACTCTGTGGATTTGGAGGAGAAATGCTTCTGGTAGAGGGTATAGTTGCTCATCTGGTGATGTCGGAGGAGTGTAGAACCCTTTTCTTCCTTGAAGGATACCCTGAACAAAGTACCCTGGTAGTTGTCGCTCCGCAAACCACTGTAAAGGAAGAGCCGCAAGTTAGAAAACCTATCCGCTCTATGCCCTTGAAGGTAGTCAAACATTTATCTTTCCGTCCGTCAGCTGAGGGACTTTGTGCATATGAATGTGGCCATCCTGGAAAGCCGATCTCACAGTAGGAGACATAAGCCACAGGTTTTTCAGCTGGCTTGGCTTATCAGAAAATTGGATCAATGAAAACAGCTTTTCTGTAAGGTCTTTAGTTATAGCAGCTTCCAGAAGTGGTCGCAACTCCCCCTGCAGCGCGAGTCAGTGGGCGTGTCTAGGCAAACACGGAGATGGGAGAATGAATACATTAGGGCTTAATGACTCGTCGGCCAGTATTAACGGCGAAACAATATAAGTGCCTTTTAGGTTGGTTGTTGAGCCCGAGACACAACAACGATGGTTGTCACGCACACGGAGTGCCTCATCAACTTCCAATGGTAGAGCATCGTGGCGAGCGACTGTTCCATGATCAAAATTGCACCTGGACAGGGGCACGAGAGAAGAGAGATCGCGTACACTTCCGGGATAGTTGAGCTAGCTCCCGTTTGATAGATCGAAGGACGTTCTCAGCGGAGTCTGAAGATGCGGACAGCCGGTTTAGAATGTAACGGGCGGCTTCGTCTGAGTCGACCGCATCGAGGACGAAGAAGGACAGTGTGAGATGATCAATGGCAGGGAGGTCTGAGGATTTGATGGCTGCTTGCGCAAGTGAGAAATCTGAAGGATCCGACTCCATGGCGGCTGATTCCTCTCCCGATATCGAGACGCGGAGAGGCCGCCTTCCTAGTTCAGCGAGCTCTTCTTGGCAGAAAGGAGGCTGACTAATAAAGCTAAAGCTTGATAGCCAATTAACCGCCTTTGGACTAGCGGATCTCGGCCGCGACTGGCTTCCCCGCTTCATCGCATCCCAAGCATGAACGAATTAACAGCATATCGTCCTCCAGCGTGGTCCGGATCGACCAGCGCTGCAATCCAATTTTGTTGGATGCTGGCTGCGCTCAGTTTGGCGAGCCGGTACTGGCCAGACAACTCGAACTCTGACCTCTAGGGGAGATCTAGTGGCTCTTGGCTGTGTTCCCGAGCGAACAATGCGGCGGCCGACAGCTCATACAATGACAAGTTGAAGTGGAGGGCCTCCAGGTTCCCGGGTGCTCATCCCTGTGCCATGACTGTGTCCTGCGCCTTTAACCGCCCTGGGATACCCCCTTCATCGTCTCCCTGCACGATTCTGCTGGGCGCTTAAAAGCCCATAACAGGCGCGGGATTACTCGTGGAAACTGATATTTGATCTCGGATTTTCATCCCTGGCAACATTCCTCCAAGCTTAGTTATTCATCGATTAACTACCTACAAACCCAAAGCAAGAAAACAAACAATCTACGACTGACTGTCTACCTTTCCCGACACTTCTTGAAAGGAAGATGTCTACCCCAGGCGAAGATATGCCCACTGTGATTGAAGAGGCTCGCATGAGAGTTGATGCAGCAGGAGTTTATGTCCTTGTGTTTAATATGGGATTTACCGACCGGTTCCACTGGGGCCTTTTCGTTGCGGAAGGCGATACTGACGGCTTCCTGCACCACTACACCGATAAGAGTCCTACTGGCGATTGGGAATACCAAGTTATATCTCCCTACAACGTCCAAAACTCCCTAAGTCTTCTTACTGCATTGAAGATTGGAAAATTGGATGATATGCGCAACGAATTCCTTACTGTGGTTCACGAGAGACTTAAAGACGTGAAAGTGGATGGTGTCCAATCGTGTCGAAAATGGCTTTTAGAGGCCATTTATCTGCTCGCAAACGAGGGGTACCTTGGTATTCAACCGGACCGGAACAAGATCAATTTTATCGAGTACGAGGCGAAAGATGCGGCGATGCGCGCCATGCAAGCCCGCAAACCGTCCGTTGAAAAAAGCCGATCCAGCGCTGCATAGCTGGTCATTGATATGATCGCGAGCGCAACAAGATTGCAATCTAACTTGGAGGTGCTTTTTTTGGTTCGTTCATTTACCACGCTGGAGATCCTACGCTGGTTGGAGAAAAGCCGAAATTGTCTTTTACCTGCTCAGAGCTGTAGCTCTTAATTAGTTAGCTTGTCATTCTTTCAGTTCGTTTTCGGTATCCCCTGATATTTTGCTCGAATCCTTTTTGAGGAGAGGGGTTTTTAGCAGATAATCTCTAAAGGTACGACTACAGGGTCTTTAAATATTGCCCAAGGGTTTACCCTGAGAAACCAGACAGAAGGAAAGGGTGAGTGATGAAGGGCTTTGCTTCACTAGTTAACTTATTATACTGGCTCCTGAGGAAAACTTTAGAATGGCATCTTGCGATTGCCTCACCATTGATGTGCCTCCAATTGGGCATCACAACTATGGCCCAATGCTTCGATCTGCAGAATGTCTGAGCAAATGAATCTCAACCAGCACATTAATACGGCTTCAGATGCCCCCAAAAATCCATCAGCTACTCGCCACTTACAGTACGAATATATGGAAGATGTGACAATCAGTATTGGGCCTTACATGCAGCTTCGAGCCCTAAAGCATTCCAAGCAAGAATAAAATAATTTGAAATGCAAGTGTTGTTTGAGTGATCACTGATAAATGGCTATCTGATTTGTATGGAGTATGGAGTATGGGGTTGGCCGGGCGCCAAGAAGTGTCCAACCTTGCATAACGAGCTAACTAGTTAGCTAACGAGCTTCAATAATAATCGCATCTAGCCAATCTTTCAACACTCTTCAAAGCATCACCATGAACCTTACGCTTGCACCTCCACGCCCAATGCCTTGAATTCAACCAAGATAACGACGGCATTGTCAAGCAAAAGAGCTCTTGAGACCCGGCATGCTCCGTGATCATGTTTAGATCTCGCGAAGTAGCGGCCAAAGCCGCCCAGGCTGCCTCCTCGGCCCAACGGATGGCCAATCTCACCTGTAATCACGCTTCCAAGCTTCGAGCAACCCCAAAACGATCCTTTGGAACGACATGCGCGAGGGCGGAGGAAAAGCCAACGTTCAAAGGCCAATTGTACGAAAGTACACAACAGAGAATACACCGTGAGCGGGCAGAGCTTGAGCGCTATGCCCGGATGCAGAGAGAGTCACCGGCTATCCGAAATACGGCAATTACTTTGAGTGCGTTTGCCCGACTAAATTTCCTTTCAGTTGCCAATTAATTGCCCCAACTCCTGTATAACTAACAATAGCACAGCGGTGATTGTCACGGCTATCGGATGTTACTACCTAGGATCCTTACGACCTACCGCTCTACCGGACTCCTCCACTACGACCCTCCATGAGGCCCAGAAGCCGCGTCACCAGACATCTGCCACCAATCTACAGGCAGCATGGGCCGACTTTGTTGAAATTGTAGGGAAGGAAAATGTTTCGACGGACAAGATCGATTTGGAGGAGCATTCCGGCTCGGACTGGTCATCATATACCGCCAAGCCCAACGAGAAGCCGTTTTTAGTCGTGTTTCCGTCCACAACGGAGGAGGTTTCTCGTATAATGAAGATTTGCCACGATCGAAGAATTCCGGTGACGCCTTATTCGGGTGGAACCAGCTTGGAAGGACATTTCTCCCCCACGCGGGGGGGTGTATGCGTTGATTTCCGTCGCATGGGAGAGATATTAGCTTTGCATGAAAGGGACTTGGACGTCGTGGTGCAGCCAGCGGTCGGATGGGAAGATCTCAACGAAGAACTTGCCAAGCATGGCCTCTTTTTCCCTCCCGATCCGGGTCCAGGGGCGCAGATTGGAGGAATGGTGGGAACTGGCTGCTCTGGGACCAACGCTTATCGGTATGGCACGATGCGCGAATGGGTTCTCTCCTTGACAGTAGTCCTTGCGGATGGAACCGTCATCAAGACCAGACAGCGCCCACGGAAATCCAGCGCGGGATACGATCTTACAAAGCTCTTCATCGGAAGCGAAGGCACACTGGGGCTAGTGACGGAAGCCACTTTGAAAGTCACGCCTAAGCCGAAGAGCGAAAGTGTTGCGGTCGCTGCTTTCCCATCAATCCACGCTGCTGCTGAGTGCGTCTCTAAAGTCGTAGGGGAAGGCGTCCAAGTAGCGGGCGTCGAAATTTTAGATGATGTGCAGATGAAATGTATCAACGACGCCAAAGCAACGAGGAGAACATGGAAAGAAGCTCCAACCATCTTTTTCAAATTCACAGGGACCCCTGCTGGAATAAAAGAGCAAATCAAAATTGTCCAAAAGATCGCTAAAGATACAAAGGGCCAGTCCTTTGAATTTGCTCAGGGCGAGGATGAGAACCGGGAACTATGGAGTGCAAGAAAAGAGGCGTTATGGAGCGTCCTGGCTATGAGAAGAAATGACAGCGACCGGGTTTGGACCACCGACGTTGCGGTACCCATCAGTAAGCTACCTGATATCATTGAGGCAACGAAGGAGGATATCACGAACAACGGCTTACTGGCTGGGATCTGTGGTCATGTCGGAGATGGCAACTTCCATAGTGAGTCTTTCTCATTCGCCTGATCGTCGTTTAAAGATTGCTAACTTACAATGCACCAGCTATCCTGTTATTCAACGATAGCGAACGTGTCGTTGCCGAAGAAGTCGTCCATCGGATGGTAAAAAGGGCGGTTGAAATGGAGGGTACGGTCACTGGCGAGCATGGCGTGGGACTTATCAAGCGAGACTACCTTCCTCATGAGCTTGGAGATTCAACAGTGGACACGATGCGCAAGGTACGATGCTTAGAATCCCATAATCAAGCTGACATGCAGTAGCTAACTTCATTTCTTTAGATTAAGCAAGCTTTGGATCCTCTATCGCTTCTCAACTGCGATAAAGTAGTGAGGATGGAGTCTCCTAAAGCTGGTGAAGTCAAAAAATGGTAGTGATAAGGGTATTGAATTGTATATAGTTTATGTCTTGTATAGAACGAACGACCTTGCAAATGTGTAATCGCAATATAAAAGAACCTGTATTGTTTGAACGATAAAAAGACAAAAAAAGAAAGCCGCCCGAGCAGAGGCTCGAACTCTGGACCCTGAGGTTAAAAGCCTCATGCTCTACCGACTGAGCTACCCGGGCTTGCTGACAGACAGTATCCGTTTCGCATCCTATGACGGGCGCACTCAGCATTTAGTCAGCTTCCGAAAACGGCACCTTAAAAGCGGCGAAAGCCACCATTCGTTTTCGGCTAATTTCCGCCAATCACAACGCGCACGGGGCGATCAGCTGCCCTTGTTTCTGCCGCCGCCTTTCGGGAGGATGACAAATCTGAGCACTAACCCCCTAGTCAGCATCCCAACATCAGTGCAGGGGGCACCGCGATCTCCATGCACTGGCGTTTTCAAACGTTTCTCCCCAGACATTCGGGAGCGAAAGCTACAGGGGGGCTTTGGGAGAGCAATGCGACGCCATATCCTCGTTTCCTTCTGTAGATATACCCCTTATTTTGATCTGTGCCCGCAGCAATCGCGCTGAATCTGCGTATACCCACAGCCTCATCGGCGCACGTCCCATGTCAAAATAACCCACATTCAGCCCTCTGCTATATCTATTCCTGTCTCGGACGACGGCGACGACGGCAGACTTTTGGCAGCAGTCATCCACTTTTAAAACATTACTCCAGCGGGGCCACGGCCAGCGTATCCATCGCGCCGGGATCCACCTCGTGCCCGTGGCCGTTTAACCGTGCAACGGCTGAACCACTATTCAGTCCGACCATGTATTCAACTTTGGTGCCTGAGTGGCAATTGGATTTGCTTTCGGCGGATTCGTTTCCGAATGCACCCCAGGTGCAGTCGTACCGCTCGATGACGGAACACGGCTCACAGATTTTCTTCGGTGCGCACATGCCGCTTGCTCCAGCAGGTGCCAAGCATCAAGGTGCGATAGACGGCGAGACACCAGCCGTACCTCGTTCCAAGAAGAAGAAAACATCGCAAAAACCAGCAGCCCAGTCGAGGGGGCGAGGCCACCCTCCTGCCGATGAGGGCTCCAGGAGGCGGGGTCGGCCGAGGGTGCATACAGGGGATGAGACATCTGCTGAAGTAGGTCCTATCTGATGACCTTTTTTTCAAGGAAATGGCACTTACATAACTGCTTAAGCGGAGACGCACCCAGATACGCCTAGCGCAGCGGGCATATAGACTGCGGAAGGAAGCAGTCATCACAACACTTAATCAGCGAGTGGAGCGGCTCGAATCTACAATTGATGAGATGAACAAGACATTCCTGGCTTTCAATGACGATGCTCTAGCCGCTGGTATCCTTTCTACACAGCCGGAGATTGCACAGCGGCTACGCCGGGCCACCCAGCGTTTTCTCGAGCTCATGTCCGAAGTTTCGCGTGATTCCGATGAGGAGGCTCACGGGGAATCAAAACAAAGCAATACTACTCCAACAGATACGAGTGAAACCCAGCCAGCATCAAATGCGTCGGGTATTCTCCCTCTGGAAAGTAGCGGGAAAGTCAGCAATGCTCTTACCACTTCTCATGAAAATAAGGCTGCACCTCAGACAAACAATCAAATTTGCCGTCAACAAACGACTATGGCCGCTAATTCAGACTCTACCTTGGAAAGCAACACCTTTCCCACTTCTGCGGAAGACCTTCAATCGCTGATCTCCTGTCCGTCGCTATTTCCCCGGGACACTACTGTGTATCAGCAATACTCCTATTGTTTTCAAGAAACTACCTTTTGCCGGCGTCTCCAACGTCGATGTCTCGAGTATGGATATGCAGCTTTGGTTGACCCGTACGCCAATCCAGAGGAGCTCCACGATGCCTTCAAATTCACGTTCGGCATTGTTAGCAGGGACAAATTGGTAGAGGTTTTTCATTCGCTTATTCAACGGAAGGCCGGTGAACCGCTCGAACTGTGGAACAAGCCATTTTTCTACATTGGGAGTGCAGGTATGCATTATCCTTACCACGATGAATTTGGCAACGTGATTTTTCCGCCGAATATGCATCCTCCAGAGCGAGCACTTGGTCCTTTACCGTTCCATAGTGCTGAGAGACCACACTCGCACAAAAGCGTCGCAGAACTGATTGATGCCATTGGATTTGGTGGGGAATGGTTTGATTGCCATGATGTTGAAGGATATTTACTGGAAAAAGGCATCAAACTCACCAGTCAGTCCTCTTACGCTTACGTTCCAATTTGGGCCGTTCCCGGCCAGCTATCCGGTATCAGCTCTCCGTTAACAAACTCACCATCGGGGTCTTATAATACCGATACCTCGTTCTTTTCCAATACAATCTCTAGCCCAGGGTCGCAACCAGATTTCCCGTCACAGGCAATGAATACTAATTCAGAGATTCGCTACCCGTTCCAGAATGAAGTGTGCTCTCAGATGCTGGGCTTGCTTGGTCTTGATCACGACCCAACTCTCCGACTCGGTGGGCCCATCAAACAGGCAACGAGCTATCCTACTGAGACATACGATGCATCTGTTACCCTATCGCCTTGGGTCTTAGACGTTGATAAATTCGTTACATGTGGGTTAACTGTTCTTTCTTTTTTTCTTTTCTTTTTTTTGCAATCAACAAGACGCCACCCAGATTGTAGGGCGAAATAACTAACATTTTCAACTCGCCTTCAGATTTATGTCGTAAAGCTGTATGCCTCGGACGCGCACCTGGACTTCGTAAAAGCCATGTGGACGACGCACTCTATACATCTATCTGCAGACAATATTGATTAATTTGGTTTGTTTTTTCTCCTTGACGACGCTGGTTTGTTGGTATTAAGTGAATTTTTTTGGGGTATAATACATGAGGAGCAGTGGCTATTTGATAAATATGGCGAAGGACTAAGTTGCAGCAGGTGTTCTTGATTGTGATATATACCTTTTGTATATGAGTGGTTTTCTATCGCGTATCTATTATAGGTTTGGGCTGTAGATCTCCTTTTTTGGGTGCCTCATGGCTTGATTTAGTGTTATACTTGCAATCAGTTTATTGTTATTATCTCTGGGAATCTATCTTTAAACCTGAACGTATGAACTTTTAAAAGTAATTACCCCACATAACAAGACGACGGGTTTTGTTGCTATTTTTAGCCCGATGCTTCTGTCATCCCTTCATTATCACATGAATCAAATACTAGTAACTACAAACATCTAGTTACCTAGTTAACCAGCGAGCTTGAATAGGTGTGACTAGCTGGCCCCAACGCCAAACCATGAGTGAGATCTCATCAAATCATAAACTTCGTTCCTTTGGGTCATCAAGGTCGTAATCAAAAAGTACAGAAATATTAAAAAACACAATCTAGGGTATTAAAAGGGTTCACATTTTCAGGAGGACCGCAAAAGCACGGGGGATATTTCGAGTTTCAACACATGCTCTTTTCAATGGTGACGTTCTCGCATTGTCACGACTGTCGTCCATCCGGCACAGCAAGTTTTCGTCATTGGATGATAGCACCAGCAACAGGTAGTTGAATGATTTAACAAATTCGATTTCGAGCCGTTTCCCGGCCCTATCGGTTTAGCAGGTGCCTTGCCTTCTTTAACTCCAAGACTCGTGCGAGACGAATTGGCGCTGCCCACTGGTGATTCACTGAATATCCTCGGCGGAGATCCAAGTCCATCAAGAGGGGTGAGGGATCCTGTAACCATCCGGCCCGAATCCTGTGTGCCGTCTGGGAAAGCCAATTTAGCGTAGGCCTGAGTTGTCATGTCATGCCAGTGTTTGCATTGGCAACATATGACAAACATTTTGGCGATTTGCTGGCCCACGGCTCTACCGGATCCGAGGTTCTTGGGCGATGCAGCTATCCCTCGATGGAGGCTCAGAGCACTTGGGGTGGTAGGAATATACTCCGTTGCGGAACGTTGCCGAAAATAACCGGAGCTTGGGCTAACGATTGGTGTCTCCTTCGGTAACTCCGTAGATAGCTTTTTTCCGGTATTGGCAGGGAGACGAGACGAGTACGCATCTTGTGGTGCTTGTACTTTTGATGGTAATATACGCCTCTCCGGTAAAGTATCATTGTTGGCAAGGCGTTGTTTCTCTAGAGCGGAAAATCTAGAGCCGGACCCGGAACTAACATCCATTGATAGTGCTCGTTTCCTTAGCTTTTCTCTCTGGCCGCCGCTGGATCGCAACTTTTGCATGATATCATTGGAGTTTTGACTAGCCCGTGCGGAGTTAAGTGCTTCCGACGTTGGGGAGTCGATATCTGTGTTTGAAGCAGTATTATTTTGAGTACTGTGTTCAGATTGACTAGTAGTACCCGTGTCGACAAGTGAGGCAATTGTAGCAGGATCGGACTTTGAAATTATTGGAGCCGGCCCTGACCTTCCCATGTCTTCGTTCTTTGTTAAGTCGATATTTTCACCAGTTTTACCTTTCCTGCTTTGGCCCAAAAGTCGAGGAATGGAAAGCTTCTTGGAGTCTATATATCCTTGGAAGGAGTTGCGACGTGTCTTCGTCGGACCTCGCGAGACAAAAGTACGTTGCTCTTGCTCTCCATCCATCGGAGATTGGGTCGCATCTGAAGGGCCCTGGACAACAAGCGGAGGACTAGCCAGGGGGGATGAACGGAAACTAGCATCCCGACTATAGCTGGAGGGCATACGCGGGTGTTCTGGTCGAGAGCCATTAGAACGCGTCGGGGGCGTCTGAGACGGAAGTGGTTTGTCCTTATCAGTCGTAGCTTTTGCTAGAGTAGTTTGAGCTTGATCTGGTCCGTTGAGTGCACCATCATCTCGGGCTGGAGATTGCAACTTTTTCGCATTGGACGAATCGGATGGTGAGGCCTCGTTAGGCTGCGTGTTGGCGGCTTCCATTCCCGCGCTTTGAGCCGGGGAATGCTGAGAAGACGTTTCGCTAACGGGCTGGCTTCGTTTAGGGGACCGCCGCCTTGGGGTTGAAGATATTCTCGCTGTTTCCACTGCGTTTCTAAGAGATTTCGAGTTCATATTCCGAGCTGGTTGGTGCTCCTTACTCCGTGGGCCCTCGATGTGCCTTTGCGCTTTGTTTGGAGGTTGTGACTGGGTTGTGCCAGAAATTGCACGCGAACCTAGAGACTGGTGCTGCGTAGCAGGGCCGGAAGCTTTACCAGCTTTCGCAATGTCAAGTGCCTCCAATGATAGCCGCTCCTGTTGACGTGGGAAGACGCGATCTCTCGAAGACTGGACTTGGATACTTTCACCATTTCTATTTGGGGCTTGTTCGTCACGGTAACTCGGGATATCTTGATACATCTCGGAGGGCCCCAGCTGACCATACACAGTTTGGGCATCGTCGTGGCGGGATTCTTTAGATTCCCTTGCACTCGCACGTAAATCAAAATGCTTCCTTACCGTATGAAGGGAGCGTTTCTGAAAATCGAGAGGCGTGGAATTGGCACCAGTTGAATTATCCGGAGTTGATGGTTCCTGAGGCTTTGTAGACCGTCGAGGCCAAACATTGAATCTCAGTTTCCCCTTTGACGAATCATCGCCACCAAAGGAAAATCTACGAGGCTTCTTCTTGACTTCCTCTTGGCTCTGCTCGTTGACAGAGCTAGCCTTTGACGTTCTCTTTGTCCACAATGATACCAATGATGACGCCGTCGATGGTCGTGGAAAAGCACTGTGGGCGCTAGAGGCTCTACTTGAATTCACCTGGTTTGGCCGCTTTTGCAATCGCCGGGGTTCTCTGGACTCAGGTCTAGATGCTCTTTTGGCTTCCTGCTTCAGTTTCTTTTCTAGTTCCTTTTGCTCTTTTTCCATTTTCTTTCTTTGCTCCTTTTTTTCGCGCTTTTTCTGGGCAGCGCGAGACCATGACGGTGAAACGCAAATGTCTGAACTAATTGAATGGTGGGCATCACTCTTAGACCGTTCCGCCACATTGCTATTGCCAGGTACTGGGCCTGCTTCGTTGGAGGCAAGAACTTCATCGATTGTCGCGTTATATTCTCCAGTCGGAACTTAAATAATGTTAGCTAGCGCACCCTCCTGATATTGGCATTCTTACGCTTTTGGCAAACAAGTTCCGAATCTCTATACTTTGAACTCGGGGTGCGGGACAGTGAGCGGAACGACATTGATCGCCCAGGTACTGTATGCGCCTCATCTAAAGTTCCCCGCAGATGCTACATAACCGTCAGCAACAAATAAAGTAGCAAACAGCAGAAATCAATCGACTTTACCTGGTAATGGACATCGGCTGACAATCCAAGTCTACTATTAGTAGAGCTAGCGGTATCGTACACGCTCTCCGTCTCGTCTGACTCTGGTTCCATTGTGTGGGAGTATTAACGTATCAACATACAAATGACAAGAGCGTTTTTGGTGGCTGACGGATGTCGAACGCAAGGGATGTGACAGTTGAAAGACTGCGGCAACAATTTGTTGCAAGGAGCTAGGCTCATATGTTGTTCAGGTTGTATGTCCAGGTAATCGAAAGGGAAAAAGGCCCATACGATGAACAAAGAAGCGGAGCTCTTCAATCTACACAGGAGCAAAAAGGGTAACGAAACTCGCCAACAGTTCCAAGAAATCGCTCGAGGGCAGTGCCACTGTGAATATCTGCGGGTGAATGAAAGGCAAAAGCAAGATCAGACAAAACGAGTGACAAAAGATGCTGATATCAAATTCACTGCCAATTCACAGGAACCTGGGGATAAATATGCTTCATGTGGGCAGGCTGCAGAGCACACAGAACATGTCAACAAACACTGCCATTAAGCACAACCAGAGAATTGTACGCTTGAATCGGGTGGATAAGAAAGATCGTGGAAGTCAAGATGATGCTGTCCAAAATCACCAGCTATCTATCAAGGGTATCACCGTCAGTGAAGAGCAATTTAGGTGAAAGTTTCCAGCAACGACAAAGGGAGTGGGGGCAGTTGAAAAGGCATGTCTAACTCTCAGCTCGGCACCCATATAATAAATGTAGAAATAATATTCAGTTTCATATGATGGAATAGCTGCCAGTCCCGGTCACAAACAATCAGCAAGAGCAGACATCATAAAGACAAACCCATGTCCCCGCAGACATACCATCATGGAAGACAATAATCCCCAGGTAAAGGAAGCCGGCCCAGATCATGCAAAGGGCGTCGTTTCATGTCTGAGATGCGATGGCGGTCAACATTCAGCGATCCCGAAACGCTTTTTGCCACACACCCGAGGCTAGGGCCAAATTAGGAAAGGGCGGATTTGCTGGCTGACTAATTCGAGGAGACAGCAAACACTTCATCCAGTCTGGTGTGCCTGTTTAACCCATGACCAACGGCCTCCCTAACGCAGTTTGGCCATCTTGATGGCCAGCTAGTTTCAGTTGTCTGCCCGATCTCTGGATCGATCGCCCAGACGATACGATCTCAAGTTACCCGGATCGCTCACTGGACGAATTCGTGGCTCAGGCCGAAGCTTCGTGAAGCCGTTGACCTATCAGATGCCGGCAACGCGATTTCTGGCCCTGAGACCTGCATTCATGAGAACAGACAACAATGCCTCTGGGGTTTGGGGTCCAAAGACGGGATTTGATGGGAAAGACGGATGAGACATTTTCCGGGATGGTACGGAGCGACGCCATGAATAATTCAGGCCAGTGGCCACAAACAAACCCACACGAGTCATAAGTGCTGCCCGTCAAGATCGCACAGTACAACTTTGCCTTTGCTCCCTTGCTCTTCACGACACAAATATGAATATTGAGCAAATCCTGTTTCCAGTTGGAATTTCCCAACTTCTTGCACGCGGTTTCTAGACTCTCACGGCAAGTGCGGTACTCTTCCTGGGATGATCCAGTTTAACATACTGGTTGTGCCACCAACTGCCTTCTATTATCTTCCACGCCACAGCGAGTTTTACAGCTTGTTGCTCAGTATGAAGTATCAGATGCGATTTCAGTAGGACAGAATACAAACATAGATACCCAGGAAACTCCAGTCGCAGGCATTTAGCCTCATAATAACTTATCCCCACCTCCAGTGGTACATTTGTATGTCTCCCTGTACTTTGGGCTACTGTCTTTTTGACAGGAGAAATTGTTGTTTTATGATCAGACCCATTCCTGCGAAGGTGACACGAGACCATTACTAGCATTCGAGATCAACCCTGCCCTACACAAACAAGCTTTATTGCGCGGCCTTTTATGGTAGTTATTGTTTTTGTACCAGTTGAACTAGACGTCTAGGTGCGATTAAAGTCTGAATTTCGATATCATTTAACGATTTTCAACTCTGAATTCCAAGCATTTGAGGTGGCTTTCGGGGCATCGTAACTTGTAAGCCATTTTTTTTATGTTGCTGTGTACGCAGTATACCGCAAGAGGAGCAGAGGGGGACACAATCTGCGGTGTGGAAGGGCATCCAAAAAACCCCGCTACATGTTACACATCCGCTTGAAATCGAGCAAGCGAAATTGGCAAATTTCGTGGCGCTGGCTGTTTTCAAGGGAGGAAGGGTGTGACATACTTGATTGTTGTCAGCTGGATGGAATTGTTGCGATGAAAATTACCAGTACAATTCTATATTCAATTTCTTGTACTCCGTATTCCCTGCTCGGAGATATCACAGCATAAGGGCAAATCGACCCTTACTTAATGAGCTGGTTATATTTAAGTATAGGTAAGTATCTATCAGCAAGATGACACTGTGGCGGAGTGGTTAACGCGATGCCCTGCTATCAGGTATCAAGGCATTGCCTTCGGGCGCGCAGGTTCGAATCCTGCCGGTGTCGTATCTTTTTTTTTTTTTTTCTTTTATTTTTAATATCTTATCCACGTAACTAACTGTAAGTTAAGGAGAATCTAACGGAAGAAGATTCTATTCCTTCCGAGATTAGCCTTATTTTTTTCCATTCATCTTTTTCCTTTTTCTCTGTTTAGGAGCTAGCAACATGGCAAAATAGCCTGACGCGATGCCATCCAATAACCTCCAGGAGACGGATACATTTTACTAGCACGACAATTGCTTAAAACGACATCTGCTCCGCGCAGGTCCCCATCCATGAAGTGGTGAATATGTGATGTTGGACATTGCAGCTGCAGCGAACACCGCATTCCCTGAGTCACCGTTCCGCGTCATGTTCTAGAAGGCAGTGACGTCAGCGGTGGCCCTGTCCGCGTTTGTGCCTGAGTGGGGCCCGCGGAACAAGCTCAGCAGCAAGCTTCCGGGTCGCTTGTCAGGAGCCGACGACAGCCCTTAAAACAAACGACCCTCCTCACTCCCTCCTACTTCTCTATCTTCTTCTTCCACCTATTCTCGACACACTACTCACGACCAAGCTCCAATTTTGAACACCTCGATGCACGAGCCTTCTAGCGACTCGCCTCCTGACGGTTCAATTGGTGCTTGGCTACATTCACGATCAAGCCGCAATCAGCCCCCCGACACTGGCATCCTCCCTTTTACACGCACCCCCTCTCGCGAGCATGGCACAGATAGCCACAGTCCAGATCGACGCACAGACAAAATTGAGAAACAGCACGATGCTGAAAAGCATATCAGTACAGCCGTCTGTGATACAAGCTCCTCCGGGTTGCCTCCACCCGCCCCACCACCCGCTATCGAGCAATGCGGAGAACCTACCGCCGTAAGAAACGAGGAGAAGCTGCCGGTTCCTTCTAGGATATGGCACTCTATCCGTATTATTATCTCCTCAAGTTGGATTAACGTCCTGCTGTTATTTGTCCCCGCCGGCATCGCGCTTGGGGCTCTACGCCGGAGCCAGGGTGACAAGAGCCCGATAAGCCCTACTGTGATTTTTGCAGTCAATGCTGTAGCGATTATTCCTTTGGCATATCTACTCGGCTTTGCCACTGAAAATGTTGCAAGGAAGATGGGCGACAAGATCGGAGCTTTGCTCAATGTCACCTTCGGAAATGCGGTAGAGTTGATTATTTTGTAAGAAGCCCTCATATGACCTAGTATACTGCTCTTTGCTAACCTTTGAATATAGTATGTATGTTAAATTCTATTTGAATCATCCAAAGAGGTCCTTGAACCTTTAGAATAATGAATTCGACCATGTATTTTACTAACGCCTGCCCTTCCCGTGAACAGTCTTGCCTTGGTAGCGGTATGTACTTTTTTGCTTTCCTAATGCCACTAATCCTTTGGCTAATCATTCTATCTCCAATCTAGAACCAAGTCCGTATCGTTCAAGCGTCTCTTTTGGGGTCCATATTGGCAAACCTGCTATTGATCCTGGGCATGTGCTTTCTTTTTGGCGGCCTACGATTCCGAGAACAGGTGAGCCGCGTGTAGTAATTGCCCTAGGATTACAAGCTGATAGTATTTCATTAGTTATACAACTCCGCCATTACTCAAATGAGCGCTTGTCTTCTCAGTCTAAGCGTGATGAGTTTACTTCTGCCGGTATGTCGGAGTCTAACTGCCATGGTCCGTTCCCAGCTGATAATTATTTTCTAGACTGCATTCCACGCATCCTTCAACAACATGCAGGCTGCAAATAAAGCCGTAGTTCAAGTTAGCAGAGGCACTAGTGTGGTAGGTACACATTATTTATAAACCCTCTATTCCATTCTAATTTAAATAGATCCTGCTCCTTGTCTACATTCTCTATTTGTTGTTCCAACTGAAATCCCACGCATACATCTACGAGAGCACGCCACAGCATAAAATCGACGAAGAGTCTCATCCAGGTGTCCTGGCAGAAATACTAAATTCCAGCAGCTCATCAGAATCCTCTTCGTCGGACGACAATGACTCGGATAGTAGCTCAGGGTCACAAACTACTGCGAAGCGCATCCGAAAGGCCATTCGGAAAAGAAGACACCGCAAGTCAAGCGCAGGCTCGAAGGACTCGCAGATTTCACCTTCAGCCCAGGAATCGGACCGAGTATCATTCCCTTCTCGCCAAACAGTCCCTCTGTCCTTGCTTAAACATTCTTCCTTATCATCAAAAAAGTCGCTCAGTCCTAAAGCGTTTTGCGGTGAGGATGAAGCCAATCAAGAAGAAACCGGGGGGCGTTTCGGGCGTCATCCGGGTGTGACAACGCATGACTTCGAAAGTGGACCATCACCAGAAGCTTCACATGAAACCGGGAAAAGGCAACGAGAAAAGAATCTCAGAATATCGAGAAGAGATAGGAAGGAATGTGGACTACGAGCACCAGCAGAGCTCCAATCTCAGCATAGCGAGCTTTCCGGTCGCCGTGTTGAGTTTACAAGTCCTTCTAACGCTGAACAGTCACCAAAAAGGCCGTTTACACTCCGAGGGATTTCGCGCGAAAGACTCTCAATACCACGATTCATTCCTACCCTGCAATTCGGTTCAAATAACATTGGCGAAACGCAACAGCGACCATCAATCAGCCGTAATGGAAATCAACCCATTTTGCGTCGGACAACTTCCCTACCTGACCGGCTGTACAATTCCTCTCACTACACGCCCACTATTCCTTCTGTGCAACCTCTACCGCACCTAATGCCCATAATTTTACCTCAAGAGTCAGACACAGATTCAGAAACGGACAAGAAGCAGCATATTTCTCGAACAGCCTCAATCATACTTCTCTTGGTCTCTACAGGCCTTGTTGCGGTGTGTGCCGAGTTTCTTGTGGAGAGTATTGATTATCTTGTCAAAAACACCGGCATCAGTCAAGCCTTCATCGGTTTGATTATTCTTCCTATTGTCGGCAATGCGGCTGAACACGTCACTGCAGTGTCCATGGCCAGTAAAAACAAGATGGATTTGGCTATTGGCGTGGCCCTCGGCAGCAGTATTCAAATTGCCATTTTTGTGACGCCAATCATTGTTTTGCTAGGTTGGTGTCTGCACACCGATATGTCGCTATATTTCAGTCTTTTCGAGACAGTTTCACTTTTTGCATCAGCGTTTATTGCCAACTACCTTATGCTAGATGGCAGGACAAACTACCTTGAAGGCGCACTTCTGATCTCTGCATATGTGATCATTGCTGTTGCAGCCTTTTTCTATCCCTCTTGCTCGAACTTGAGTGATGCGGATCCAAAGCTCTGCTAAAACAAAATTGGTCTTTGATGACGAACTTGGGGTCGATTGGCTGTACGGCATAACTGGTTTAGCTAAACGTCCCGGCGTCGTCTAAGCATTATTAAATCACCTTCAGCCGTCAGACTTGTTATTGCCCAGGAATAATATCGACAAACAATGCTCCCAATGGCGCAAAATGACATAGCATATGTTTTTTTCCGCCAAGGGCTGATTTTATCCAAGAGTGACGGCTCGCACTCATATTCGATAGGCCCGATGGATCCCCCAAAACAACCCCTGAGCATAGTGGTTTCGGACTAACAAGACTCATGCACGGTTCTATGTAAGAAGCTTCGCGTTGTATAGTACTTCTCTTAGAGGAAAGGAGGCCACATTTGATACCCTGTAGTTATATGTATTGTTTTGCTATAGCCATGGTGTGAACAGTTTTAAGATCCCTAAGATTCTAACCACCGAAATACTTAAAAGTGCACAACTATCCAGTTATCCTCAAGGATATCATAATCACCAACGATAGCTAAGTCATGGTGAGCTGAGAGCAGCCCAGCATCATGGGCTCAGCGAACGCAACACCAATGCCCAAAAACTCCAAACCATTCAGAGGCAACAGCATTGGCCCAAAGCTGAAACCTTTTCTACTCGGTACCTGATTGAGCGGTAACTTAGTTATGTAACCGCCTCCGGAAGTCAGAGCTATGACGACAGGAGATGCGCAACCATAAAAGATTGCGAAGCGCGGTTGCATCCGCTTTGGATTATTCGCCTGATGAAATTCCCATTTACCAGTATCGAAGTTTTCAGGTATGAGGACGGATGGCCCAAGCATTGTGTTAGAAGTGGGCAGCTCAGGAGGACGGGGAGCCTTCTAGCACGAGAACATGATTGCGGTTGAAATCGCGCCTTGCGAAGTGACAATCACCAAACCGTGCGTGCTGAGAGGGAAGAGAACAGTGAACCGAGTCACCAATGGCCCGTTTGTGATTCCTTCCCATGATCTTTTCTGGCGGCCTCCTACGACAGGCGGAAGGGATATTACCTTCACCAGCTGCCAGCTGCACGAATGGGCAAGAAACTATCATTTGGAGCCAGTTGTAATTCTACCATGCAACGAGGACAGTGGCAGAGAAAAACTGAGCATGATTCCGAGACCGCTAGTTGGCTTTGATATTGCATGGCTTGATAGCCTGAATTGCTGAATAATGCTGGGAATGGGAATTCGACGCAGAGACATCAACCACACGCAAAATGATGATGGCTGATTTTGTGTCCCTGGAGGAACCAGCTAACTACTCCATGGTGGTTATTTCAAACGCTCTGGCCGAGGATTAATCACATGTTAGCGTTCTGTTTACGAGCTATTTGTTTAATTTTTCCTTTTTGAACGCGTCGTTTTAAACTTGAACCCTCACTCCAATATACCTGTTCAAACTCTGCTACACTAGCAAAGGCCATGGAAGGGCGAGAATCTGTCGAATTGGTGATAGTAGGTGCCGGTAGGTCGCATGATTCAACCTCCCGTGATAATTAGACGCGACTCACTCATAGAATACTCCAGGAATCAGCGGCTTAGCGTGCGCGAGAACGTACCTCACCATCCACCCCTCTGCTAACTTGGTCGTCCTTTGAATCTGCGGCGTCGATAGGCGGGGTATGGGCGCAGGAACGGCTCTACCCGGGCTTGCGCCTGAATAACCTTCTGGGAACCTACGAGTACAGCGACTTCCCCATGGACGAAGCGTTTCGGGTTCAACCCGGTCAGCATATTTCCGGAGAAGCGACCCACCGGTATCTGAGAGCTTATGCGGAGGAATCTGGGATCCTACTCGAAGATTCGGTTTAACTCAAAGGTAGAAGCCATTGAGAAACTTGATGGGAGCCATAACGCCGCCTGGCGTGTGACGTACACCCAGCTAGACGAGAAAGGCGAAGGAGAGCGCCGGCATATATCTACGCAAAAGTTGATTATGGCAACAGGTACATTTTCTGAGCCGTTTTTGCCTGCTTTGAAGGGAGCGGAGACCTTCGATCCTCCTTTGTTCCACAGTAAGGACATGGCCCGAATGCAACAAGCTATCACTCAAGCAAAAAGCGTAGCTGTACTGGGCGGTTCCAAGTCTGGATATGACGCTGCATATCTGGCTGCATCGCACGGAGTCGGAGTTGACTGGATTGTAAACAATTCCGGTCGAGGTGCCACTTGGATTGCGCCTCCGTACGTAACGCCTCTCAAGAAGTGGCTAGAAAAGCTGGTCAATACCAGATTTTTGACCTGGTTCAGCCCCTGTTCTTGGGGTGATGCCGACGGCTTTGGTGGCGCGAGAAGGCTTCTTCATAGCATGGCCATAGGCAGATGGATTGTCGATAGGTTTTGGAAGGTCTTAGGGAATGATGTTGTAACTCTCAATGCCTATGAGAAGCATCCGGAGACCAGGAAGTTGAAGCCTTGGACGGATGCGTTCTGGGCTGCGAGCAGCTTTAGCATCCTCAACTACCCGTCCAATTTTTATGATCTGGTCCGTGAGGGAAAGATCAGGGTGCACATTACAGATATTGAGCGTCTTTCATCTAACACCGTTCATTTTGTAAACGGTCAAAGCATCAAGACTGATGCGCTAATCAGCTGCACTGGCTGGAGAGCCCTTCCAGCTATTAAATTTCTCCCAGAAGGCATAGAAAAACAACTAGGTCTTCCACACAAGACTCTGGATGTCAACAAACTGGCAGTCAAAGCAGATGCAGAAATCCTTTCACGATTCCCTCGACTCCAACGACTACCAGTGGTGCAAAACCCGTACGGTGGCGTCCTAAGAGACTTTTCCCACCGCAACGACCAGGAGCCCTTCCGGCTGTATCGCCACATGGTGCCGCCAGCTTTCATCCATGACCGCAGCATTGGATTCGCGGGGATGGTCACCAACTTCTCCATTACACTATGCGCCCAAACGCAAGCTCTGTGGTTGACGGCGTACCTGGATGGAAGGCTACCTCTCGAGACCTCTTCGCCTACATTTGAAGACGACCTGCGCTGGGACACTGTCTACCACAGCCAATTCGGAAAATGGAGGTATCCGTACGCCAGCCCGCACCACCCAGATTTTGTGTTTGACGCGGTGCCATATTTGGACTGGCTGCTTCGTGATTTAGGCCTCAAAGTGCATAGGAAAAAGAGCTGGTTTGCAGAAATATTTGAGCCATATGGTCCCGCGGATTACCAAGGACTCATTGAAGAATGGCAGGAAACTCTCATTCCAAGGGCCGAGTAGCTGCAACATCACAGTTCTATCAGAATCTAAACGATCCTCTTCTTGCCGGAGAGAGTTCATTAGTCAGCCTTCTTGGTAGGACGACTCAGCCACGGTTCAAGAGCCGATATTCAACCGCTCCTTCACCTCATTCTGACATCAAGTAATTATTGGCCATGCGCGGTGTATATTAACTGCCACAGTCGCAGAATTCTTTTGCATTTTCATCATCAACAACATTGTGCATCGAGGTCCTGCCTGCTAGAGAGAACAGCAACAGCTCAAGAGGCATTGTATGAGGAACTACTCTTCCATCAAAAATCCCGATCATGCTGTTCTTGTGTTGCAACCGCACCAAGGCTAAGCAAGGCGACGACGCTACATCCCAGTTCGACACCAAGCCAGAAGTATTTCCTCATTCTTCACCTGACAAAACCGCCCAGCCATTGTCAACCAAGCTGGCAGCTACAATGGGTAGGTCATACGACTCTACCTCCTATACAACCCGCGTCCGATTTGGCTATTGATGCCCTTATCGGATGCATCCTCCTGAACCTGGCACTATCCAGCATGACCCCATACGCTGGAAATAAGTTGACTTTTTTTGTCTTGTTTTCTTTCTTCAGATGCCCCTTCAACACCAATTCACAACTGGGAGGACATTCCCGACAATACGGACCTTCCGCCACCTCCGGCGCATGCCTATCTTTACTCCAACACTGGGAACGCTTCAGAAGAAGACGCAGAGCGTGCCCATGATTTTTGCGACAATACTCCGCTCGTTCAGCCGAGAGCGCCCTCACCGGCCGTCTACCAGGCTGTTCAGGAGGGCAATCACCATCCCACCAAAGCGGCAGAATATTCCGGCTCGCTTTTCTCCAAAAACGGCAGATGGAGGGGAGAAACACCCAGCGGCAACCGCGATTGCATCGTCTGGACCAATGCGCCCATGTATTTCGCCAAGAATGATTCACCCTTGGTTACCGAACGACGCAAGACGATTTACTTTGAAGTCAAACTCATGGGTCTAACCGGCGGAACGCCCACCCAGACTCCTGGGTTCTCCATCGGGTATATCGCTCAACCATACCCAACATGGCGCTCACCTGGCTGGGAGCGTGGCAGCCTGGGCGTCTTCTCCGACGACGGGTGCAGATTCGTCAATGACTCATTCGGTGGCAAGGAATTCACCACTGAATTTCAGATTGGCGAAACAGTCGGCCTGGGAATGACGTTTTACCGCGTTGGCGAAACTCCTCCTCAGACGGCTCCACGACCGCCCAACATTGACGGAACGATGGATTCTTTTGCAGTCAAGGTGTTTTTCACGCGAGACGGGAAAGTGGCCGGGTCTTGGGACCTCCATGAAGAAATCGATGAGGATCAGGGCAGTATCCACGGACTTGAAGGAGATTTTGACTTGCACGGCGCGATTGGATTTTTTGGCGGAGTGGAATTCCAAGCTTGCTTTGATCCATCAGGTTGGCTATGGTCTCCGTCTGACATTTGATTTTTCAGTATCTAAGCTCTTTAGCCCTTTGTTCTTTTCCAAAGAGGCAAACATAATATAAACCATATCTTAGTCGTTTTCACCTATTGAGATGGTTCATAGAACACTGTTGTATCATTAGTATCATTAGGCCATGCTGGATCTGCTCCCTTCCTTCTTTGTACGCTCTATAGCACGGAACACCAGGCGGTTACATGCACACGCACACACATACTGTTGTAGGGCCGCTCGTTCAGGACAGGTGGACCATGACTAAAATGATATGTATGTACCACCCAACAAAAGGCCTTGCGGCACAGACTGAGAAAACCTCCCATTCACCGCAACTTCAAGATCGGAAGAGAAATCAAAACAAATGTCTCAAGGAAGCCATTTCGAAAAGGAAGAACACACGGCTGCGGTCGCGCGCTGCACTTCCTTCACCACCGGGTTCCACAAGTTTGCTTTATGCTGGGAAAGAAGAAAAGAACGGTCCAAGTCCCACTCGTTTATGCTCCCGGATGCGGCATAAACGATTCGAGGAATGCAAGGTACGAGAAGAGCCTCAGGGGCGAGGAATGAACGAAATAAAGGAGGAAAAATTGGGACCATCAAGCCTTTGAGCACCACATCACGACGTCCCGAGTCGCATTGAAGCACAAGCATCGGGACGTTCGAATTTATGCCTCAAGTGAGCGGTGAGCGACGCCGATAAGCCCTAAACCAAGCATGGTCACTCGTTCGAGGTCGGCAATTAAACAAGCGGGATTTTTTTTCCCAGTTCTGTTGTTATAGAGCAAGACTTAACCGTCCGTTTTCCCGTCGTGAATGCTCCGGGCTCCGTAGCCAAAACGGCAAGCAGGGAGCTAATCTCAAGTCTCGCTTGGGGGATGGACTTTTTGTCCTGATGCACCGTCGTAAGGCGTGATTGTCATGCGCAGTATCACTTGGTTAGTTACCGCCTCCTGTCCTCATGCAACGATGCAGAATCCTCGCGAGCAGGAAAAGATGAAAAGCGATTACGGAGTATTCAGTGACTTGAAAGAACGATGCAAAACAGCTTCGAAACATCCACCCAGTAGCCGTTGCTCTTTTTTTTTTCCCGCAGATCAACGCGCCCCTGAATATCACCCGGTCAGGCCCCCAAGCACCCCGGTTTAGCATCACTTTTAGCGTCACGGGGAGCTTCAGACGTGCATCCGGAGGCGCACGTTGCATGCAGCCATCCCCGACAACCCTCTAACAGACGCGATGGTTCGAAAAGGACCTGGGGCTGGAAACTCTCATTCTGAAATTGCACCAGACAGATCTCCAAGACAACCTTCTCGCCCCCATGCCACGCCCCAAAAGCGATCACCCTAGAGTTCGCGATGCCCTCTGCTTATCTTGCCAGCGCATATCGTTTGAGGAGGAAATCCCGTTGTTGGGCAGCAAAGAGAGCGTAACGCCTCGTAAGCGTAACAGATGACCAAGGGCTCCATCGTTCCACGGAAAAGGACATCGGCTGATGGAGATTAATGCCATCTGTGCTCACTCAGTAGACAAAAGACTTTCCCACCGCTTTCCGTCCGAAGATGCGGACAAGACACAGAGACAACTCCCGAGGAAGGGCGGAGCCCCCGTCAAGGATACTGCTGGCCGTTAATTAACCTTCAATGATTGCTTCAACTCTTGCTATCGCCGCTCCCAAACACGTGGGACGACGGGATACTCTGAGTAGCAAAACGACGGCCACCCGTCAGCGATTCGGTCCTCGCTTTGCAGTTGTAACTTTGCCCATCGCATCAGATGACTATCTTCTTAATTGCAAGTACGAGAGTCCCAAATTCGGGAAATCTTAAACAACATGAAGCCGCTTAGCGACCGGTGGGGCAAAACGTGGCATGCCATTCACAGCACCTCTGTGGCGACTTGCCCTTTTGAACGTCAAGAGTCCAATGCCGGTTTGCGATTTGCTGAATATCCCTGGAGAAAAGAGTGCCGTCAATAAAAAAGCAGATGTCGGACTCCATACGGCCCGGCCGTTCCAGAGCCGGTTGCTTCACCCCTTGTCGCCAAAAAAGAAAAGGACTTGCATAAGCGTGGCCACTGATCCCTGCAAACAAGCCACTCATCAAACAAACGAGTGAGGACGAAGGCTGGCGATTCTCGCAATTGTTCCTGAGTTTCGTGGCTTCGGGAAGATGACCCACCAGCCATCGATCATCTGCTTCGAGAACTTTTCTAGAAGGCGTGTTTGGAAATTTAGGAGAAACCTTGAACTCGCCGACTTCGAACGTTGGCTGTTGATATCCCGCATTTCGCGCATTCCTGATAAGTCTTCGAAAAGCATGCCCAGGCTCCTGTCAAGCTCGCCCGTGCTGCATGCATATGTCGGTGCTCCATCCGGAGTACATAAACCTCCAGCTTCCACACTTCTCAGGCACATAAGGCTGAGTGCAATGACTTCCATTGATCAGCGATCCGGGGGATCGGGCGTGTAATTCGCCAGGAGCTGCAAGCTGGACCAGGTGATGGATCACCCCATTCCAAACCATCCGCGCCAGGGGCCTTGCAAGCGATATCGCCATGGATGGAGAGTTGCAGAAACGAATGGAAAAAGCCGTTGGACGTACTCTCGTAAGATCCGGGAAACGACCTCTGACAAACAAATAAGATCTGCTGATTCACGGCTCCATACTTTTGCGATGCACCGCGGAAAACAGGGGGGTTTCTCCAGATCGTATTTGCGTCGGAAGGTATGCATTTAATTCACTAGATGATGCTGCTGATGTTTGGGAAGGAATTAAATCTGCTTCTAGGCGTTGGTAAATCGGGATTTGGCCCATTGAGTATTTCCCATAGTCTCCCCATCTGAGTAGCAGCCCGGGACATAGTCAGTTCCTGTGACGGCATGAAGTTGCGCCAGGTGAGTGATGCGCGGTTAGACTGGCGGTTGTGGAACTGGAGCGTCTCACGTTGGCTCCGGAAGGAGCGCCTTTATACTTCATTGTTCGGCTCCATCCAGCAGCAAGGCCGCCCACTGCCATCGGATATCAGAACCGACTTGCTGTCGCGAGTCTGAGTCATTTCGTATACGAGCCTTTCTATCTCTCAAGGGGATCTACAACAGGGCAGAGTAAGTGATTGACCGCAGGAAGAGATATTCTCAAAGGGTTGCAGCAGGATTTCATATATCCCTGGAATTAACGCTCCCTGGTGGCTAATCAGGTCCTTCACACCCTCCTTCTTTGATCAAACGAGAGACCCTTGAAGTCAAGACACAGGTCGCCGGTCAGGGAGATGCCCAAACAAAGCAAAACCCTGCCACCACCGCCCAATCGCCTCGCCCAACATTTGGCCGTGATGCCATTTTGCATTTCCTTCTTCCCCCCTGGACAACCAGAATCTAGAACACCACTCCGGTGCTAGGCTGCTTGGCGTTTTGATCTTGCCATGCGGCCATGCCGGACAGCCCTGTGTCAGGCCGAGACGGCCGAGAAACAATCGAAGGAATGCGGCTTATATCTCGAGAGCCTCGACGACGATTGTCAGTCAAACCTAACTATTTGACCAAGTAGTTAAACTACCCCATCGTCTGTGTACAAGCGTCAAACATGTTTAGGGAGCGACGGTTGAATCTTGCTGCACACATGAAACCAGCCCTGCATGGAACCCTGTTGCCAGGATGCTCAACGTCCGTCTAGCTCGACAAACAATCCTTGCGCATTTGAGTTGCCCTTGACTGAAGGATTAACTCCTAGTGGAGGCAGAAATGTTGTCTTGCGGTCTGCGAAACGACTGGTTACCAGAGACGCTTGGGTCGGGTTGGAAGCCAGCAAGAAGCCAATCAACACCCCAAACCCGCTATTGACGGAGGAGCAATTTTCGACAGAATTCTTTTCAAAGCCTTCAATTCTGAGTCGTGGGTCAAAAAGGCCTCCTTGGCATATGGTCAATGCTCAAGAAGTTTTATCCACAGCGCTGATCGTATCGAACTGCGGGGCGTTCCTAGTCCGCATAAGATGCATATTGTCCACAATTATAATTTGATGCTAGGGAGTTGCGGGCTGGGCCGGCTCTAAATGGTTGGTGATGTGGATGACGGGCTTCGAGGATAACTAAGTGCACCGTCTTGATCCCTGGCAAGTGGTGCAGGTACCGCGGAAGAATGCTTTGCGAGCAAGTGCCCGACGGTGGATTGGACGTGCAAGTTGGATTGTGATGAACAAGTTAGGGATGAACTTCAAGACTCTATTACTGTATACAGCTATCAAGAGCTCTTCCCTCCCCAACGAAGCTACCATCGTGCTCCCTTATAGCGATCTTCTTGAAAGCACTAATTTAGACGATATGGCTATTGGTATCAAAGGATAACTCAGCAGCCAGCCACGGATGTGACGCGGGAACGGTTCTTTGTCCAGCCCGATCGCTGCTTTCTCTGCAACTATCTGACGACCAATGCAACAAACTGCAACAAGCCCAGAGCTCATCGAGCTTCAAGACGACCTCTTGCTTGTCATCGACCCCGTTCCTGCAAGGCGTTTCCACCGAACAACTTGCTACTAGACCAACATGCTCCCATAGCTCGAAGGCACTGTCAACCGTCCGGTCTTGGCTTGCGCTCACGACGCCCACTGTGAGCTGAGCGCTGTTGCTTTTGCTCACTGGGATCAAAAATTGGGCCAACCGCCCGCAGCCAGATCAACGAATGCCCACCCAAAGCACTGTGACGCTGTTTACCCAGCTCGTTGGCTCTTTGTTATCAACGGTCAGACGCCGTCGCGTTGCTCGCCGAGTTTTTGAGTTTTTTTTTTTTGCTCCAGAATAATCTTCAAAATATATCGCATAAGCGAACAAATAACGTCTGCCCCCAATTTTTTCTCTCATGTTAGGGTCCGGACTTTTCCGAAAACAGGACTTTCTTTGAGGGCCACGGGATGAAGATGCGGGAGCAGGAGGATATGGTTCGCAAGATATCCGTCGACCGAGGAGTTCACGGGAAGCAGGAGATTCTTGGTGTTTTTTTTCGCGAAAAAGCCGGCCTGTCAGACGTGCCGTAGTTATTGTCCCTTTTAACTCGGGATCAGCCAGTTGTTGCGTTGATCGCCGAATGTGCACCTGGGACAGCGCCGTTGAATTACCACGGACCGGCTCGGGGCCTCTTGCTGCGCACTGCGCATTGTGCGTGAGACGGCGATGAAAGAAAGAGAAGAGAAATCGTCCGGAAACGAAGCAGGTCGCGATGAAACTCGCGGATGGATGATATCTTCAAGTTTCAGCAGGTCTAACAATAACATCCTTCGCTTTCATTTCCACCACCGTCCAACTCAACCCCGGTTTCGGTCCATTTTCGAATCTTCAAGTCATCTTGGAGCCGGAAGCGGTGCCAGAGCATGCCAATCAAAGGCGAGAGTGGTCTTTTTTCGTCCTCCCATGTTATAACACGATCGAGGAGCAGGTCCAACGTCAGATATCTCGGCCCCTGTTCCATGTGAAATGATTGACAGCCAATTTTTACGGTTTCGCTCCTCTCTGCCCCCTTGGCCACGCTACGTAACTCCTCTGGACAAAGTCAGTGACTCTGAACTAGTGGCATCGCAGAATGCACCCCTCCCCAGTCGGCCAGCGCAAAGCTAACTAACAGATGCTTGCTCCTGAGGTAGCTCCACATGCTGCTGGATATTAGTGCCGTCTGCAGGGATAACCTATTATTATTACACCTTTCATAACTGCTCTAAACTGGGTGCTTCTTAACACGCAAAAAAAAAAAGAGGTCCTGAGTGATAACCAGTTACTTCACCCAGTAGTGAGCTGGGGACTTTACCGAGTAAAAATACAAAAAAAATAAAAAATTGGTTGTCGAGATGCACAGGCATAGCCCAACCAACAGGTGGAAGAAAACCACTCGACAGGCAGAAGGGATCCCATGAGAAGTAAAAAAGTCTTTTTTTTCCCTTTCCGTCTGTTCTTTGACTGCCATTGCCGCGGTCGTCTTTAGAATTTCCATTCAACAATGATATAGGTTGCCAATTGCGATTCACGATGTGAGAATGGTACAATTTAAGCTGTCTTCATCGACCTCCCCACCAAGCTTCCCTAGACTAAACCCCATGTTCCTGACCTCTTCGTGCTTGTTGCTCAAAATCATTTTAATCCCGAGTTAATCTCCTCCGTCTTCTGCTTCTTCTTCTTCTTCTTCTTCTTCTTCTTCTTCTTCTTCTTCTTTTTTCTTTTCCAATTCAACATCGACTCTCTTTTCGGTCCTTCCCTTTTCCCTTCGCAGTCGTTCTCTTGCGCCTCGCCAGTGCCTCACTGGGCCGGTCGTTTCCACCTTCAAACCTTACAGCTATTAATCTTTAATCTACTTCTACTTCTTCTTCTTCTTCTACTTCTCCTTCTTCCGGGGGTGGTCGGGTCCGACATCGTCGCGCGGTCTTGTCGACCAGGTATAATCGTACGAGCTCTTCCATACATTGGCCGGCGTTCGATGCTGGGTACAACGATCCCAATCCACGAGCACGCATGATGGCATATGAATTCCCCCACTTTCTGGCTTTTAAGCTGTTGTTGTGAGTGGCTTCTGCTCAATTGATGTGTCCAATGGGCCCCCCCAATTCAAGCTTTCCGGGTTGCAATTCTAACCACCCACGGTCGAGACAGTGCCTACCGATACCTCAGACTGGTAGTTAATCTAATTGCAGTATGGACTTTTCGTCCAATTCCTCCGCCGGAGAACCCCGCTCTGACCTCCCAAGATGCTACAATCATTATACCGTCCTTGCAGGGCTGTGGCGAGGAGCTGGAAGAAACGATTCGCACAATTCTCGTCAACGAGCCCTATCAGATCTTCCTTGTTACCATTGACGCGAACCGCCCAAACGCGCAGAGGATGCTTGACTCGATGCCGGCATCGAAGACGAGAATCCAGCTACTCAGCATCCCCAAACCCAACAAGCGACGCCAGATGGTTCGAGCCATTCCTGAAGTGCGCACGGAAATCACCATTTTCGTCGATGACGACGTGACATGGCCCAGGACCGAGTTGAAGTGGGTTCTCGCCCCGTTCGAAAAGGATCCCAGCTACGGCGGCGTCGCGACGTGCCAGCGACTCAGGCGAGTGAACGCCCCGATATTCTCGATGCAGAAGATTTGGGACTTCCTGGGAGCATTGTACCTCGAGCGGCGCAACTTTGACTGTGCTGCAACTACCCATATGGATGGCGGCATGCCGTGTCTCTCGGGTCGCACCGTGGCGTACCGGACCAAAATCTTACAGGACCGTGAGTTTACCATGGGGTTCACCAACGAGGAGTGGTGGTTTGGGCGGTACGAGCTCAATGCCGACGACGATAATTTCTTATCGCGTTGGATGGTTACGCACGGCTGGGAAACATATTTCCAGTACCATCCCGAGGCCGAGATCCAGACGACGCTCGAGGATAACCCCAAGTTCCTGAAGCAGTGCGTCAGGTGGTCGAGAAGCAACTGGCGCAGCAACCTCACAACCTTATTCCAGGAACACGTTGTCTGGTTGTAAGTTCACCCCCCTGGCAGCCCCTAATTTCCCAAGCCTTTGGAATTTGCCCTTTTTGCCCCCCAACACGCTCATGCTCCGTTTGTGGACGACTCGCGATGCAGCTTGTTGCGATTTCTGTTGTTGTCAACACCTCTCTCCACCAATTTTTTTTTTTTTTTTCTTTGGGTCCCGCTATCTTTTCTTTTTTCTCTAGCGTCATCATGTTGCATTTGATTGCCATGCATTGATTTAGCGTGTTTTGTTTGCTTTTTTCGGGTGAAGATCGCAGGATCTGTCACCGGGCAAATCGCGCCATCGCATCCCTGCCTTAACCCACTGGGATTGTCTTACTACCGGAGGCTCCACCCTTTCTAGAGCACACTAAGGCTCTTGTTGCTTGAACATGACGCTAACTCAAGGGGTCCGTGTGGACACCCACTTGCAATTTAGCCGCCAGCCGTGGAGCACTTACGCCGTCTTCCTGACAACGCTGTCCCCTCCCGCTTTTATTGGCGATCTGTCTCTGATCCTCTGTCTCTATAAGGGCACGGAAGGCTGGAGTGGAGAGACCCGCACATTAGCTATTCACGCCCTCTTGCTGTGGATGTTCATCACCAAGTTCATCAAATTGCTGGGCCATTACGTCCGCTATCCGGCCGATTTCCTCCTGCTGCCCGTCTCGATATTATTCGGATACCTCCATGGCATCATCAAAGTTTATGCTGCCTTCACTCTCAATGTGGTGAGACAAGCCAGGCCCTCTCGTTCCTTTTTCCTTGCTTTTTGCTTCCCCGCAGAATCTCCAACGGCGTCTCCGTCGAGTTTCCACGGTTGTTTTCCGTTCCTCGTGCCGAAGACAGCGGTTCTAGCCCCTGCCCCACTTGTATAACTCTTGCGTCTCCAAAGGCCCATGTTTGAATTTTCGTTATTTTGCTTTTTGTGTTGAATTTTAATTTCCCACGCCTCTGATCGTCGATTGGCCGTCGCTCTGCGCCACATGTGTCGTGGTGCAATCACCTTGCATCACAAATGTTTCCCTTTTCTGAGTCTTCACATGTGCTCTGCCCACATGCTAACTCGCACTGGTTCTTCAGACAACTTGGGGTTCTCGAGAGGGCGCAGATGTCAGCGATACCGATCGGATGAAAGAAAAGTCCGATTACGATGTATCCGTTTCTTACTCCAAATCGAAACTATTGGCCTTGCCCCCGAATAAACCAACATCAAACACCCTTCGAGCCGTGTGCTCAGACAGCAGGACTATTTACCCCATTCTAGGAAGTGGATTCTGCTCACCCAACTTAAATGTCAACCATCAGTCGAAAACTGGCCACTTTTGAAGCATTCTCCATCCGTCGTTCCTCTGCACTCCTCCTCCTCCATTCGCCCTTTAGCCGGGAAGCATTCTTGCTTCAATACCATTCACCCGAACCTCTCTCCAGATATACGGGTCCTCCCCTCTCTCTCATCCGAATTCCCGGCTCGCCTTTAGAAAAAAGGCCAAGATTATCCATATGCATTCCAAAACCACTTCTCGACCTCCTTCCCCTCTTTCACGGCCTTGCGCTTGAACCTTCCATCTTCTCCCGCTTTTCCCCGTTTGCTTACCGATTATTTGTTGGCATTTGTGGAATTACGCATGCGCTTTTTTTTTGGGTATCTTGAATGATTTAGACGAAAACACTACTCTCCGTTGTCATTGTTTACTTATACCAGGTTTTAAAGCCGCTATTAATTGTGTTCTCAACTATTAGAGCACCGTTTTCTCCGTCTTGCTCTCTTCTCTCTCCACCCGCTCCGTTTGATTTGACAGCAAAATTGATACCTTTTTTCTTTTTATTTGGCGAAGCTGTTGATTTTCTCTTCTGTTCTTGGTTTCCTGGATGTATTGGCACTGGGGTTAGCAAAAGCTTGATTTGGTCCTGTTTGTTTATTTTTTTTGTTTTGCTTTTTCATCATGACAGCGTTAGATTTCTTGTTTGTTCCCTGTTTGGTCATTGGCACTGAAAATGTTATCGCTTTCTCGAAATCAATTGTCCCTGGACCTGTTTGCAGCATATCCTTTTTAAAAAGATGAAATTTGACATCTCTCTTTGCCTCCATCTCGGAGAATTTGGCTGTGATTCATGCCACCCCCGCATATTTTCATCCGAGAAGTGTCGGTATCGTTTAACACAAACACGTTCCCTCATACGAGTACCTCGACACTGATAAATCGGAAGCGAGGGTGAATGAATCAACCAAAGCTGCATATCCCGGTGATATAGGCAGCAACACACGGAGGGGGGCACATCACGCCCGAACCATGCCTATAATCCCATTAACAGGTGGTACTACCTCTTTTTTTGCCTTTCTTTGTTGGACCAGAATCAATTTTTTGGGAGGATCAACGAATGCAACATATGCAATGACGGTAAAGTGTTAGAAGGACCCAAAAGTCTCGCAGAAAAAGCTAAGACGGGGAAGAGATGCCTCGTGCATTAGTTTTACGACTTCCCATAGTTAGTTCGTTGACAAGTTTTTATTATTTTTCCTTTTTCTCGTTTCTTTTTGGGGGACATGCAGGTTTATATTTCCGAGATGCATGAACTAACTAGCTAACTAACTAAACGCCGGTCTAACTCTGTAGTTAACGAGTTACCGAGGAGAAAGGTGAATAAAGAACGGGTAACGATGGTTCGAAAAATATCGACAAAAGGGATAATGGCACGGTTTTGGGAGAATCGAGGCGCAGCTGTCTGCTTAACAGAGCAGCCAAGACGTGCTTTTCTAATTTGCCGTGTTGGTGATGGTGAAAGCCAATCTTGCGATCCGAGTAGTTTAATATTTAGTGAACTATATGCCGTCACCTCTTTTAATATCCGCTATTAGCCTAGGAGGTCGGCAACTAATCTGGAGGGGGAAATATTGGCCTGTGTTGAGAATCCCCTCCAACATCGACATTTGACATTCGGCAAGCCGACGGGAAGCCACATATTGCGTCTGTGGTCAGTGCAAAGAGCGAATGAGCCCTCTCTCTCTTTTTTCGAAAGAACAAGGTATATACACGCGCACATACATCACACGTGCATCCTCGGTAAGGTGTTGCCGTAAAACCTGGAGAAAAGGCAGGTCTCGGTTCGATCATTCCAATAGGTCACCAATGTGGTAGGGCAAAAAAGAAACGAAAGGGGCAGTCGGATCGCAATCCTGGTCGGTTTATGACATCGGGAGGACGGCACAAAAAGAGGTGCTGGCCCATGGATGGCACCGTTGTACGGGCAAAAGAGCCAAGGGTGCAGTGTGATCTCGTTGTTTTCCAAGGACCGCATGCGTTGTCCTTGGTTTCCTCCACCCATGGTGATAATGATGACGATGGATGTTCCGTATACATCGTGTCATTGGTTCGGCAGCGATGTTCCTACACAGCGATGACAATTTCTTCGAAGATTCCAGGGGGACGTTTCTTTTCCCCTACCTACATTGCAGGTAGAAAGAACAAGGGTGGTCATCCCCATTCCACGCCCTCCTGCAGGCCCCCCAATCATTATTCGTAGCGCCCAGCGTTCGAAAATTGGAGGTATAACCAAGGGTGTTATCCCCCTTGGACCGTGGGCGACTTTCACTAATGCAGGCACACAACTTTCACTTGCAAGCCTCGCCAGGGAGCCCAGCCAATCCCCAATCCCTCCAGAGTGCGGCGGTGCAGAAGCGCATTCACCAACGTCCCGCTTGTCCCGCAAAACGGTTGGTTGTATTTGGAACTTTTTGTTTTTTCGAGCTTCCTTCCAGCAGATCTGTTTGACGCAGGATTTGCACAGGGCAAGTTTGTCCCACGACACCCTGGTCCGTCACGCCGCATTTCGGCGGGAAGAACTGTCAGATTTTTGTGGGCAAGCGTGGGACAGCGTGGGATAACGAGCTTAATTAGTTAATTAGCTGAGATTGTCTTCCCCAACAAAGGCGGCAACGGACGCGGAAAGGCCATGCTGAGCCAAATATAGAGCCGGCTGCAGTGACTTTCACGGTGCTCCGCATTGAGGCATAAATCAAATCTCGTTCCCGCGGATGTTCCATCCAGCGTCCGAGGGTGATCATTTGAATGTTTAAACTGTGAGCAGCTCCCCCTGCTGAAAGCTTGTCTCTATCAAACGTGGCTGTTAAATGTGACTGCTTTGTGAAGCAGGAGAAAGGTGATCTACCAGCATAATCCCCGTGCTCAAATCACTTCCAGAAATTCAATAGCGCCAAGAGGCGTCGAGCTTATCGCTTCTCACAAAAGATCAATTCCAGGGCTGATAGTGACGATTTGTCAGTCCCTTCTCAATATTCGGCCTTTCGGTTTTCTGGTAGGTTTATTTTGGAAGGCCGGATAATGCAGACAAAGACCGGCCTGATTTTAAAGCCTCGAAGAGACGGTATCATTGGATTGATATCTTTTTGCTAATCAGTTAGTTGAAAGGCAAGATTATCATCATCGGCCATGTTGGAACTTTCAGCTAGAACTGCAGTGGACTGTGCTCTTATAAGATGCTCCTCACACACAGCCATTCGCACATGCCATTCAAACCAGCCCCGTTGGGCAACTTTCTTTCTTCATATGGAGAATGTAGAAGAGACCGCCAGACCGGCAGTGAGCATGGTGATGCACAACCCATGGTCTCAAGAGTAGTTCTCTGCTGCAACCTTCCTCCATATATCCATGGCCTGACTTGTTAGGGCATGCCATGACATTCCAGGCCATCTTGGCAGTTCGTTTGGTTATCAGGTCGTTGACCGGTTACTTAAATGTAACAAAGCAGCATTTGAAATGTAGTGGCCCATGTTCGTAGTATCACTTGTAGACCAGAATAAATGGAATATGTGCCCTGAGTGATATGTTCTGGCAGCAAAAGATATCCCACAGCTGATCCGGGATCTAGACCCGCGTTTATGTTTTTCCGTTGAACGGAGGACATGAGGTCCAGGCAAAAACAAGCAATTATCACAGGATGGGCAATCAACAAACAGCTTTACAGTTCAAGATATCGCCCTTGAACAAAGACAATGAAAGCTCTGCAGAGAGCATCCCATATATGGTTTCGGCCTTCCTACGTTTCCCCTTGGATAAGGGCTGGTTCACCGAGCATTCGTGCCGTTCATTCCTCAATCTCTCAGTCTGCTGTAGCACATCCGATAAATGTCCATGGCCCTCCACCGAAAGCTCCAGTGCCGTCGCCCGAGTTTACAGAACGAATTGAACGACGAAGAAAACAGTCTGAATTGATAAGGCAGGAGAAGGATGCTTCTCCGGCCAAAGGAGCGAAAACAAGCCCCCTACGAAAGCGTTTCTGGAAAGATGTCCATGTGAAAGAAGTACCCGGTAGAGGGTTCTATCCCTGTCTTGGTCCTGGAGAGTAACGAGGCTGATTCATTGCTTCATAGAGGGTTACCAAGTGCTTTTAGATTCCCGCCCCATACGTACACCGGCCAAGACGATCCTGACTATTCCACGCTCAAAACCTCACCTTGCGCACGCGATAGCGCTGGAATGGGACCAACTTGTGTCCGCGCAGCAAGCGCTAAAGCACCATCTGATTCCTTTGACATCTCTTGCCGCTCGAGCCGAAGACATTATAGAACAAGATTCACGCAACGAAACTACGATCCGAAATGAGATACTACGAACGTTGATGAGATACCTGGACACTGACACGCTTTTGAGCTGGGCGCCGGAGAAGGGACCGCATGATGTTGAAGGAGATGAAACAACTGCAGAGTCGCTGCGAGATGTACAAAAGCGGACGGCACAGCCTATTATTGGGTTTTTAACCACAGCTGTATGGCCAGGGGTCGAGATCAAGCCAGTTTTCGAAGCGGATAGCATTCTACCCATTTCCCAGCCTCAGATTACGAAAGAAGTGATTCGGGGGTGGATATCTGGGCTGCCGGCATATGAATTGGCGGGACTGGAGAGGGCAGTGCTCGCTAGCAAGAGTTTACTCATCGGAGTGAGACTCATTGTGGAATGGAGTGAATATTTCCGCGATTTGCAGCCGGAGGGTCCGAGGACTTTTGGAATCGAGAAGGCTGCGGAAGTGTCCAGCTTAGAGGTCCGGTGGCAGACGGAGCAATGGGGCGAAGTGGAAGATACGCACGATGTGGAGAAGGAGGACTTGAGGAGGCAACTGGGAAGCGCTATCCTTCTAGTCAGTGGAGAGCAGAGGGAAAAGCAATAGCCAATTTTTTCAAAAGTCAGGAGGATGGTTGCAAAGCCTTTCACGATGTAAGATAGTTTTATGTTGAACCTGAAGCGTTTGGAGTGTCTGATATGCTGTACGCGCGACTTTCTTGGGCTCCAGCGCTTCTTTCGAGAGGTCGCTAAATACACACAAAGGCTGGAATACGCCATTGAGTTTCAACAGTTCAGTGCAGCAGAAATCTCTCTGACAATCCTCTTGTTTGCCGCGTTCCAGAACGAAGAGCATTGTGGCTTTGGTTGGGGGATCTTCGTCGAAGTTGACGCTTCCGCACAGTTGCCAAGTCCCCCCTGTCAACATCAGCATCTCGCCAGGACTCTGCTCAAAGCGTGCAATTGTTCTCCAAGTATCGTCAATCCCTCACTCCTTACCTTGGGTCACTAAGGGTACTGCTGCTCAAAAAATACTGTCTTCTACATCGAGCCTCCATTCTGCCCTCACTCTATCAGGTGGCACCGTCACAGCCCCCGCTTCCCAACTGCTACCCTCCCTCCAGAGAGAGCGGCGCCTGGATTACCAACCCGAATACCCGGGGATGAATCCCTGAACAGACAGTGGTGACAATGGGAGAGAAACTTGAAGGGTAACTACACACACCCCTCCAGTCCTATTGCGTCCGTGTGTCTAGCCCCAAATGGATGGCCTTGAGTACCGGCTATCTCCAACCCAAGCTCCAAGTTTCCTTTCCTGCGATCCATGGCTCGGTACTTACTCAGCTTCCATCACTTAGACACAAGCGCTCTAAAAGTGCTTTGGCACTCTCTATACTTCACCGCGACAAGTCACGGAGCGATGACGGCCACGACGACAAACAATCGAATCTAGACCCCGGCTCACCGATATCGAACTCTCCCTCACCCGTGAACGAGCCACGTCATTCGTATTCGGCGTCAATGAGCTACCTGCGGCCTTCAAGGCGAAAGGCGGAGACGGATTCTATGAGCGGCAAGAGTAGCAACAACCCGCCCTGCGACAACGCGGACGCCACAGATTCGAAAGACGAGCTTGAGATGAACCCCGTTAATGCCCCGCCGAGCGGTAGTCTGACGATAGACCAATCCGTGCGAACGTTTCGGTTGTTTGAAATCTTGCGTGACGGCGACACAACTGCAATTTCGAAGGCGATCAAAGAGTGTCGGGAATCTGGACAAAGCAGCACGGCTTTGGGGACAACTATTCTTCACCTGGCAATTCAATGCGCGGAGCCCCAGGTGGTAGAGTACGTATTGTCGAATGGGGATGTTGACATAAATGCTAGGGATCGTGATGGGAATACTCCCCTCCATCTGGCTGCGCAGTTGGGAAGGTTATCCATCGTTAAAGAATTGTTGGATCGTCCGAATATCAACGATGCCATTACGAACTACCGCAGCCAGATACCACTTGACCTCGCTCGTACGCCCGATATCTTCCAACAGCTCCAGCTCTCCCGATCGCTATTTGTGGATGCAAAGACTCGGGAGATCCAGAGCCTAGTAGCCCAAGGTGGCTACGACAAACTAGAGCGACTGTTGGGCGAGCCGCGCGTTCAAGGCACGGTTGATGTGAATAACCTGGAGCTTGTGGTAGATCGTACGACAGCCTTGACTGGCGGAACGTTGCTCCACGAAGCAACAAGGAAGAAGGACACGAAGTTGATTCAAATTTTGTTGATGAATGGCGCAGATCCCTTCCGGCGCGATAGGAAAGGAAAGCTACCACAAGATGTCACCAAGGACGATAGGACGAAAGCGATCGTGAAAAGATCACCAGCCGCTGTAATGGCTCAGCGAGGCATCCAGGAAAAGTCAATCTTAGGAAATAACCCTAGTCAAGGAGGTGAAGTAACCCTAGGCGGGAAGGATGCGCGTGAAATGAAAGGCTATCTCAAGAAGTGGACTAATTATACCGGCGGATATAAACTGAGATGGTTTGTTTTGGAGGATGGTGTTCTCAGCTACTATAAACACCAAGGCAAGTTGGTCTAAACCTGGTAACACTGAACACGTGCTAATATGCGACAACAGATGATGCCGGCTCCGCGTGCCGTGGTGCTATCAATATGCGTATCGCGAGACTTAACATGGATCCCCAGGACAAAACTCGTTTTGAGATACAAGGGAAATCTTCAGTCAAGTATCATTTGAAGGCTAACCACGTCGTGGAGGCCAAACGGTGGTTTTGGGCGCTGAATAACGCCATCCAATGGTCAAAAGATGAAGCCAAGGAAGATGATAGGCGACGTACAAGGGATGCTGAGGCTCTGCGCCAGGCAAAAATTGACCAATTTGGACAGGCTGATAGTCAAACAGATGCCGCAAGTTTCACGAGTGGCAAGGGCAACGGAAGATCCCTAGCTCCCCCATCACTAGGCCCAACACCCAGCGGGTCAAAACTAAGTCTCCAGGTCTCGAGAGGCGCTTCCGAAAGCGGAGCTGGGGAGGAAGAAGCGTCTGTTTCTGGTACACTTGAGCCTACATATTCGCATCAGGGTATCGATCGTATTGTGAGTCACGTCACCTTGACTGCTGAAGGAGATGGGGAAGAGGACGATTATGGCGATTACGACAGTAGCCGAGAAATCAAACCATCAAACAAGGACGCCTTCAACATTACTGCCCAGTCGGTTAAACTGCAACTGGATCTTTTGGGAACTGTGTCAACCGCTCTCCAAGCGGAAAAGAACAAAAACCCAACCCTTCCGATTTCGGATCCGTCCGTTTCTCAAGCCCTGAGCACCTACGAAGGAGCGGTTAGCAATTTGAATTCCCTCGTGCTAGACTTACTCAAGATATCAAAGGATCGCGATGCATACTGGCAATATCGGTTGGAACGAGAAGCGGATGCGCGAAAAATGTGGGAGGATAGCATGGCTCGAGTCGCAAAAGAGCATGAAGAGCTTCAGAACCGGATGGGCGAGTCTGAAGACAAACGTAAGCGGACCAAAAAGGCTTTGAAAGAAGCCCTGGAGAATGCGTCCGCGGCCACTAGTCTAGGGCCTTCCCATGTACAGATATCAGATGCCGTGGAGGTTGTCAAGGAGTTGAGCTTGGACAAAGAAGCTACTGAGGCCAAGCTTAGCAGTTTTGCACTGTCACGGAGAAAATCAATTTTGGAAGAGATAACCGCACTGTCCGAGAACGAGTCGGAGGAGGAAGACGAATTTTTCGATGCAGTCGATGCAGGTGAAGTGGAAGTGGTAATTCCTTCAAAGCCGGAGGAGGTACCTGCAAGTGAATCCGACATTCGAGCATTAAAACAGTTAGAAATCGAGCCGGCTTTCAAAGGATACGAGGATCCTATAAGAACCCGTCTAAAAATGGATTACGATAATCGACCGAAAATTTCACTTTGGGTAAGCCAAATATTGCCGCTTAGTTTCGCTATATTACTCACGCTTTCCCTCTAGGCTATTCTTAAATCAATGATCGGAAAAGATATGACTAAAATGACTCTTCCGGTGTCGTTCAACGAGCCTACATCGTTGCTTCAGCGTGTAGCAGAAGACATGGAATATACTGACCTTCTCGACATCGCTGCCGATCGTGCGGATTCCTTAGAGCGTATGATATACGTTGCCGCGTTCGCAGCTAGTGAATATGCATCTACAATTGGCCGTGTTGCAAAGCCGTTCAACCCATTGCTCGGAGAAACCTACGAATATGTACGACCAGACAAAGGGTTTCGTTTCTTCGTTGAGCAAGTCAGTCACCACCCTCCGATCGGTGCTGCATATGCAGAGTCGACCAAGTGGGATTATTATGTGAGTATATCCTAATTGAAATTTCAATAGAAAACCGCTACTGACGTCTTCTCAGGGTGAATCGGCTGTGAAATCAAAATTCTATGGAAAATCATTTGATATCAATCCGTTGGGTACCTGGTTTTTAAGATTGCGTCCTGTTACTGGCGGCGAAGAGCTTTATACTTGGAAGAAGGTCACATCGTCCGTTATCGGGATCATCACCGGGAATCCAACAGTAGACAACTACGGTCCAATGACGATCAAAAATTGGACAACGGGTGAAGTCTGCAATCTCGATTTCAAACCACGGGGCTGGACGGCCTCGTCTGCCTACCAGGTGTCGGGGAGAGTTCTCGATCGCGACGGTGTTCCAAAATGGAGTATCGGCGGGCGATGGAATGACAAGATCTATGCCCGCCATACACCGGGGTACCAGGAAACGGTGTCAGCACCGCAAGATGAAACTCCCCAGAGCCCGGATTCTTCTCAAGCGTTCTTAGTCTGGCAGGCTAATCCCCGACCCAGCGGGATCCCTTTCAATCTTACCCCTTTTGTCCTTACTCTGAACGCCATACCTGAAACCCTGAGGCCATTCTTACCTCCAACGGACACTCGCCTACGGCCAGATCAGCGTGCCATGGAAGACGGTGAATATGACTTTGCTGCAACTGAAAAACATCGTGTTGAGGAGAAGCAGCGAGCCAAACGTCGAGAACGCGACTCCAAGGGTGAGGAATTCATCCCAAAATGGTTCAGCAAGGGCAAGTGTGAGACAACAGGGGAGCCGTATTGGGTCTATGGTGGAAAGTACTGGAAATGCAGAGACATTGGTGATTGGAGCGTGTGTGAAGACATCTTCTAGTCGACAGCTGCTACACGGTTTGATTTTGGATTGCATTTTCTGCGAGAAGGCATTCTTTTGATTGTTTTAGCCAGGGCGCGATTTTCCGAATCCTCTCGTTTACGCCCAACCCGCGAACTATTAGCAAAAACATATAGCTGTTCGACTGGCTTGTAGTATAACTCGTATATAGTCCAATTGAGCTTGGGCATTCTCACTAACAATTACTGTGGTTCTCTATAAATATATATATTTCCCTCGTCAATATTCGCTCGCAGTGGAATCGCACGGCTCGCTCACGTGACCGAGATCGAGCTCCAGTTGAATTTCGTTGCAACAAAAGCGGGCGAACGCCGCACGGCTCCAACACTCAACGTCCAGCGCTCGATAACCATGGCGGTTGAATTCACCTGTCAAAGATGTGCACAGGCACTCCGCCTTGGACTTAGAAACCGTGTGCCCGCAATCAGTCCGCGCTCGCTACCCAAGTCTAGGGCCTACCACTCGAACAGCGTCTTGTTCCAGCCTCAAAGACTCCAGCCAAGTATCAAGCATGCATACGGCAATGCTCAAACTCGGATAAGAGGCATTGCGTCGGCTTCCACGGCCGAAGCTACAGCGACCACCGCGCGACAAACACCCAAATCCGAAGGCTCCCGCCCCCTCCTGCGCGCAAATAACCTCTTCCATTCCTACACCAACTCCCCATCTCCAGAGATCAGGCGGCGCGCGGCATTCATAAAACAAAATGCGTTCTGTCCTCATCCGGACCACCGACAAACCCGCGTTCCGCAGTCCCCCCACGACTCCGAGGCCAGAAAGGCTTCGGATGCCGCTAGTCAGGAGCCGGCCCACGCGAAATTCGAATGTCCTGACTGCGGGGTACCGGTATACTGCTGTGAAGAGCATTGGATGGATGACTTTGAGGCGCATTTAGAAGTGTGTGAGACGCTTCGACAGATCAACGAGGACGACCATGATCTGGTTTCGGGGCGGTTTTTTACGGAATTTGACTATCCGGGCCCGCAGGAAGAGGAGTGCGTGGTGAATATGACGAATTGGGATACGTTTTTGTATACGAGGGAGTTTAATGCTGTGAATGACGATAGGTGCATGAGGCAGGTTACAAGATTGTTGACGTATCCTGTCACTATTGCGAGTGTGTTGCATGAGTTGAGTCCGTATGATTTGCGGGGGGACGGGATGGTCACGGTAGAGGGATTGAAGAGTTTCAGCGGTAAGTGATTCTTCCAAAATGAAGAGAACTATAGTCAATTAGCCTTGCTAACGTGAAAATAGCCCTTCGATATACGCTCCATCCACCAAAAGCCGGTGAGGGAAAGGACATTGCCGGTCTACGGCTTCATGCGCCACCAGTCCGAATATTCGTCCTAGGAGCCCGTGCTGAATCCTCCCTCCCCCGGGATATCTGGCTCCAGCTCACATACCTCTTCCCACGGGCAAGCATCAACCTCATCTTCATCGGCCCAGAAAGTATGGCGAACCGGGACGACGAATTCCCACTCCCTGAGCGAACTCCAAACAACCCCTTTGGTGGCATCGTCGAAGACCGTCTAGGTCCACAGCTCAAAATCACAACATACGTCGACTATTTCCACACCATGCACCGCGCAAACATGTTCCAGCCGTACGACCCTTACTTTGACTGTTTCATGCTCTTCCATCCCGGATTAGGCCACCCGGCAAGCTCTCACGAGTGGGAAGAGACGCTGCCCCATCTCTTGGAGACCAAGGTGCCCATTATCTGCACGGGCTACACGGAATGGGATATGCAGAGAGATATGAACTGGGTCAAGGAAAAGTGCGCTGGCGAATTCGATATCCTGCTCAAGCCAGGCGAAAATAGGTTCCGGAGTTTGAGATGGGACCTAAACGACGCCGATCCGCATGATGTCTCTGCTGGAAATTGGGGAATCTGGGGCTTTAGAGGAAAGAGGTATGTTATCTGCTAACTTGAATCCAAAAGCCGGTTTATCTTCCATTTGCTAATGATAATCTTTTCTATCAGGTACGAGGCCACCTTTAAGGGATCCTAGTTGCTCTCTTCCGGTTCAGCAGTTGGTTTGGAGTGCAGGGAGCGCTGCCGTATCTACTCCCTGGATTATGGATCTTTTTTTTTTTGGTCGCATTGGGAATGTTGAACTTATATGTATACTACCAGCTCCCCTCTGCTCGTAGTCAAACACGGGCTTTCTGTACAATTTGAAGCATTCTAGACTCTGTGTAGGGGTATACTTGACTTATTGTAATATCATGTGCATCATAAGAATACATATTTACAGGGCAAAGTTCCTGGAGAATCTGGAACGAGTGTCAAAAAACAATCATCATAACCGTATGGTACAACACCAGACTAAAATCATCTATAGTCAAAAGGCCACCTCTGAAGAAAACAAGCTGGGTATATGTAGGGAAGTCGTGAGGATTTCAAAAAGAGCTAAAAAAAGCAAAAACGACCACCCTTTCAGAATATTCCTCGCCGGTATGCAGGTTATTTTTTTTTAAAGCAGTGTAACGGTCGCAAGAACGATCGCTGCCATCGTCCAGTAGCCACTCAGCCGCAAGATTTGCGGCACTACATGGTTGGAGATGTTCTCTGTAATCGAAGGATCCGGTGCAGTAGTTCCATTGGGCAAGGTGCCATTGATGTAAATCTTGGTCGTTCCGTTGACCTCCACGGTCTTGATGACGGACGAATTGCGCGGCAGACCATTTCGATCCACATCGTTGAGAAGCGATTGGATGTAGGTGCTATTGTTGTTATCATCGCAGCCGCACACGGAATACTCCTGGCATAAGCAGACAATGGGGATGCTTTCATTTCGATTGCTTGTTCGGTTGCGCCAGTTGAAACCGTGGTTGGTCTGGTAGGCATAGGCGCCGTAGAGCCAGAGACCCGGGAAAAATGCGAGCAGCGCTACGGGCAGGAAAAATGGAAATAGCCCTTTTGGTGAGCGTCTGCCGGCGGTATACGGAACTGATGAGCCACCAGCATAATATCCTCCCCCGCCATATGTGCGAGGTCTACCGGATCCGGAGCGAGATGATCCGCCAGCATTGCTACCGCGGGGGAAACGAGAAAAAGTTAGCGCCATAAATCAAGCGTCCATATCCAACAGTTTGTCGACATACCTAGATGGTCTTGTTCCCGGACTTCCAGGGCGTCCTCCTCCCCCGGACCGGCCCCCGGAGTTTCCGCCGCTACGACCTCCCCCGCCGCGACCCCCTCCGCCTCGACCTCCACCTCCGCCACCTCTTCCGCCGCCTCCGCCGCCGCCCTTGCGCTTCTCCAACTCGGGCAGCTTGGGAGTGTGAGCAATCACGGGTTCAAGGTCGCGGAGGCTTCGGTCGTCGAAATCATTCTGGCTGAGGTCTGTGCGCAAGACATAGCGGGATGTAACCGGGGATGAAAGGCATAGTAGGAGGCCCAACGCGATGCTCGATGATAGCTTCATGTTGGTTGTCTCAGGAACGTCACTATTTGCTCGTGGAAATAGACAAATGCAGCCCGATTGAAAAAGAAGGGAAAAAGTAATAATTGTTCAATGTAGCTTGCCGGCGGCTCTTAAATGAGGATAATGAAATACTACAAAGCGCCACTGAAGGGATTACAGAATGACGCAGAAGAGAGCAGCCGACAGGTTTATCAAATATTAAGGCGAAACTGGGATTCAGCGTTGAATTGGCGGGCGGCGGGCAGTGCAGGCATGAGGCGGTATTCTTGGGTTATCTCAGCAGGGGCACTGCCGATATTGGAGGGCTTGCTGCAGCCTGATTGGACCACGTCCCGAGCATGGCTACTGCCACCGCGCTAAAAGTGCCAAGTGCTTATTGACTAATCCGTATAGCCACATCCCAGCCGGAGACTGACTTCCCAAGGCGCAATAGCAAAAGGATGAACAATGAACATCGCAATGCGCAGCTTAAGGCTTATAAGCTCTCACTCACCAGCCGGCCTCCAACTCGACTCCGCCATCTGCACCTTAAGGGCCCGATGGCAGTGGAAAGCGGACTTCGCTCCTAAATCTCTCCCACTGAAAGCGGAACATGTTGGCAACACTGGGATCTTTCAGGACCCTACAATCTCGTCTGTGGCCTTTGTCTTGCCATCCGGCTTTCTGACAGTCCTGCCAGATGGTTAATTAGCACACGCTTTTGGCAGCCAAAATAGAGGGGGGCCTCAAATCGCGTCCTATCCGTACCGTGCTACAGTACCAAAAAAGCAAGCATTTCGAGCAAGCCTTCAACGATTCTTGCTTTTGGCCGCATCCATGGCAGGTTAACTTGCCATCAATTCTCTTCGAGTAAGAGTTGATTCGGTCGCTGAGACGCAAGAGTTTATTCAGCGAGGTAGGTATGATCTAATTCACAAGACCAAGTCAACATCCAAGCTATACTCTCAGAGCTGTCTCTTTTCCTGCTTCCCACCTTGACGACCTTTGGGTCTTCTACACGGATTCCGCGCCTGCCGTCCCGGAAATGATGCTGCTCCGGGTATAAAACAGCAATCGTATGGTTGGGCTGAAATGAGTACTCGCCCGCTGAACGGTCATCCATGTAGAATGCAATGATCGAAGTTTCCCCCCGCTTATCACGGGCGGTCACCACCGGGCGTATAAACAATTCCAGATCTTCAATTTCGCCCATAAAACACCAATGCGCTATCGGTTGGCAATTGTCGTCCATAAAGTCACTATCAGGCCTGAGCGTCAGACCCGGCAAGTCCTTGAAGGGGGGGAAGATCTCGTCATCTCGAAAATCGGCAACGCTCTGCATTTTGTCGGCAGCGTAACTATCGTCAAGCTGATGTTTGACCGTGACGGAATCCACTGGAGGTTGGAATAAAGAGGCTATCGTGGGGTCGAGAACCCCAACTAGCTAACTATATAACTATTTTAACTCAAGTCAACGTCATACTACTGTCATCTATCCTAACCACCTGTCAAGCAATTGTTGTCTTTGTGCTCTTAGTTGGCTCCATGTGGACATGCATTGTTGAATCGATTGCTCTTGCGATGATCATGGTAAAAATATCACATCTATTGCAGCTGTCAGGCTGTTATACACTAATCAGTTACAGGAAGAAACATCGGAAGGCTGGACAGTAATGATCTCCCAGTCAGTACGGAAAAACTCTTGCATCTCAGCATCCAAGATTCTGCAATCCCTGTTGTGGCCTTTTTTCTTCCAGCCGATTTCTATGCACTCCTAATCGAACCCAAGTCAGCGCCCTCTTTTCGCAGAAAAGCTCAGATAGATAGCTATCCCGGCAACCCTCCTCGTACCTTGTCACAGTAGCGGAAAAGCAGGCACCTGGCACATTGCTTCACTGATGCCTTCTTTTTGCCGCAGCCATGGCAGATTTGCTTATCCTCAGTCTGGCAAAAGAAACCAACTCGATCACTCAAGTCGAAGAACTCATTCAGTGGGATACGCAGAATCTACCAACAGTTCAGCTGGGCAAGTTTATATGCAAGTGATGACATCCCGCCTAGTTACCTTGACCAATTTCTCAGCCCCTACCTGAATCCCAACCGTCTTACCCCAAATCACACTCCGCTGCGCATATAAAATGAGAACCGTCGATCCACACTCCAAAACGCTCCAAGGCAAGTCAAGGCCCCGGCTTCTAGTTCGAAACACCACTGGTACCAAAGTACCCTTCTTGTCTTGAAGCTCGAGCATGAGGCTGTCATGCTTGATGGCATCTATAAGCTCGCCGATAAAACACCAGTTTCTAAAGTAAATAAATTTGTTCCCATCCTTGACGGTATAGAAATCAGTGTCGTCGGCTTTTGCGCTGGGCAGATTTTCAAATGTTGGGAACCACTGCTCGTTCCTAAAGTCCGCCAACTTTGGCATCCCCGCGAGTTAGATGGAAGGCAGACTGTTTAATATTCCTAATTATGCTCGCGTAAAACTGGGCAAGTTAGCTTCTAAGCTCGTGCAAAGATATCATACATATTAAGTACTCACCGAATGTGGTATAAAAATGATTGCCAACCTCCTCTAAATGCATAGATAGTTCGCGCGGAAGCAAATATGTTCCCATTGTCAGTATGTTCGCCGGCGCGCATTCTCTTCAACTCTATCAATTTGGTTTGAGTTGGAATTTCCTAGAAAGATGGGCTCATGGGCTCGCAAGTGCCATGGGGCAGTTGTTCGGCCGGGGAAGCTGTATTTCAACCCCTTTCAACAGTCGCACCTCTCCCATAAAAGGATCAGTCACAACTGATAAATCTAACAAACTAGTTGGCTGCGCGGGATGCATTACTCCTGCACACAATACAAGGACCTACGACTTTTGTTCCCGGATACAATGTCGAACAGAAGTAGTTATATATTAATAATGTATTTCAGGAATGTACAATGTGTACATGCATCCTGGAAGCGAGCTGTTGTGCCTCGTCCTCCGAGGCAATCAACACCATAAAAGCGAAAGAATCCCTCCGACACTGCACCATTGGACAAGAAAAACACAATTGCCAAACCAAGAGAGATAAAAATGCAGACAAAGGGCCAAGCAACATCCCAATTCCCAGACGCCTTGCCTCTTTTTCACTAGAGATCAAGCAATAACAGAGCCGGAACACCGCCTTGATTTCCGCCCATTGCCCATGGTATCTATTTTTGTTTTTCGCCCCCCCGCCAGCCCATAGAATTTCGAAACGGCAATAAATTCATGTAAACATGACAATCAAACCCTTTTCCCTCCTTGCACCTTGTACATAGACTAAATTGAATATACCAAATCCTCGGGTGGTTCTAGACCCATCTCGATATCGTTCACTGCCATAGCTTTCCAGTTGTCATTGAACCACTCATTACTCAGGAACAAACCGGCATCGGGGTCCTCAGGAAGTTGCATCCAATCAGATGGAACCCAGTTATCCTCCTTATCTCCTTGGGTATCGTCGTCCTTGGAAACGTCGCTACCCCGTGACGTCTGCGTGGTTGCACTGGCATCCATGGAAAGTGGAGTGTCTTTGGATCGGATGGCGTCAAACGATTCGGATATGAGGAGCTCATCGACGCGGTCACGACCAATATCAAAGAGACCTTGTCCGGCCAACTCGCCAAATGTCTGCCTGATCGCTTCCAACGGTGTGGGAGACTGTTCCCATGGATCTGCGACAGGTGAACCCATGTATGCGTCAGTCCCAATAATTCTCGGATCATCCTTGCTCGAATCTCGTTTAGGCTCCACCGAAATCAGTTCCTTGGTGATACTCATCTGCGACGTTTTCTGCTGAAGGGAAGCAGGTGAGATCGACTTGACAGCAGCCATGCTTGAAGTCTTAACCACCCGTTGAGAGGCAGGAGTCATGCTCTCTCCCTTCGTGCCGGTTTTGGATGGCTGTGACTTCCCTGCTCCAAGGGCTGTAGAAGCTTTAGCCTTACCCTCTTTCGTATCAGAAGAGTTTTTATCGATTTTGTCAATGCCAAGTCCTATTCTAAAGCTCTCAATCGCATACTCAACGGGATCGTTGATCGGCTCCTCCGGTTTATGCCGTTCGTTGACGTGGCTATCCAACGCTGCGCGAGATGAGAATCCCTTGATAAAGTATTGACACTCTCGAACTGGACATTTGAAAGTATGATTGGGAACCGGTTGAGGCTTCCTAGCCTCGGCCACGGCTGGTGCTTCTTCCTGAACCGCAGATGCCGGCTGCTGTCCGGGTTTTGTTGTTGTCTTGCTCGCAGGCTGGTTTGGCTTGCGTCGTTTAGGTGGAGGAAGAGTAAGGTTGTCTTGAGTGACATTGGTTGGCCCATAAACACGAGGAACACCTTGTGGTGACGATGCTCCAATAGGGAAAGGCGGCTTGACTGTTGTCGGAGCAGCTGGTACAGCTTGCGCCATCCTGGCCTTTTGGAGCGCGGCCTCTTGCTGTTCAAGCTGCTGAAGATTACTAGCGTTGAGTGGCGTCGGGGCCTTTTGCGGTGCGGGTTGTCCAGGAAGAGGTTGAGGACCGGTAGCCTTTGGCTGGCCCTGTCGAGAACGAACACGGCTGATCATCTCGGCGAACCATTTTTTGATATACATAATGGATGAGTTTAAATATTCTGGCGCGATCGTAAAATGATCCGCTAGCGTCCAATCAGGGCCTTTAAACTGCTTCATCAATAACATCCTCTGCAACAAGTTAGTGATTTCCACAAAACTATTCGAGAGAAGATGATCAGGGCGAACACTCGTACCATTTGGAGTAGAAGACGAAGTGGATTTTCCTGTCCTGGGACCCTCGCGACCCACTGAACTAACGCGTCCATGCGACAAAGCATATCTGTATTTTCCCGGAGCTGTTGTGCGATCGCAGCTTTTTGATCTGATGTCATGGCAACTGGGATAACAGCATCGTCTTTCCGGACAATGTCCGCATAGATTTGTTTCAAATTATCCGGCAGACGACTCCATGCTTCATCCGCCACACTTTTGGGAATACGACCTCGCTTATTCTGTGTCTCCCATTGCGCTCTTTGCTGGGGATCCATAGCAGCCAATTGTTCCCGTGTAGGTTGGGGACCAGCCTGTGGTGGCTGTCCACGAGCGGGCGGAACCACGGGAGTCTGCGGATGCTGCGAGGCAGGAGTTTTGATTTCTGCTTCACCGGCAACGGGTCTTTTAAGAGATTTAGGAGACGGCTTGGCGATCGAAGATTGCGGGGTGTTGGCTACATTCTGAGGACCTGGCTTGGTGTCCACAGAGGACATTCCGGGAATTGGCGCAGACTGTGGTGCTTGTGGCTGAGCCTGTGTCGTAGGGATATGCTGGGGTTGTTGAGAGGGCGTCGAGACCTGCGCAGGCGGAGCTTGGTTTGCCGCTTGAGCAGCGAAAGCTTGCGAAGCTTCCCTATTCCGTGCCGCCTGTGCCATGAATTGCTTGTGTCGATTCTTTTCTAGAAAAACTCGGAGGGCATCATCGCTAAGCTTTTCGACTTGAGATCCTAGTTTCTGACGGGCGAATTGAACATCTGCGGCAGTGATCGGGCGCAGCATTGGCACGTTGGGAGGCAATTGGGTTTGTCCAACGTACTGTTGGGGAATGTGCTGAGGCCCTGCTAGATTGAAAGGAGCCTGCCTCATGCTATTCGGATCCATTCCTGCTTGCATAGCACCAGGTTGGCCGATGGCGCGGTTAGCAGCTTCCCTCCGAGCGTGTATCTGCAGTTGGCTGAAATGGATCCTCTGGAGCATTGCTAGCTTATCCATACTGATCTCACCAAGCGCTTGTGGGTTTTTACTTGCCCACATTTTAAGCTGGCCCCAGGACTTTATGGTTTTTGGCAACGCCTGTACAATGGCTGGATTTATGTTCAGAGCGGCAGCGGGAAATGGCATTCGGTCCATCTCTCGAACTTGAGTTTCGGTCATGGGTATGTTGGCCGCGCGCTGTTGCATGTAAGATAGACGAGGATCCGATGGCTGAGGAAAATTTGATGGTTGTTGGTTTGGTTTTTGCATCGGAAATTGTTGGCCCTGTAGGCCAGGGTAAGGCTGCATTCCGCCCATATTGTAAGGCATTCCCATCGCTGCTCGCATATTGGAATCGTTGATTAAGTTCGACCCTGCAGGGTGAGACATCTGGGCAGCATCCACAAGAGGAGCTTGGAGAGGAACACCGGGGTTTTGTCGAAGCATCGCTGGGCTGTTGGCAACTGAACGGCGAAGATTCTGAAGCACGTGGCTAACCTGGTCGGGAGGCATTTGGGCCAATTGATTTTGAAGCTCGGGTGGGAGTCCAGGAGGAATTGTTAGTCGTGAATTTTGCATAGCACCGTGATTTGGTCCGATCCCCGCAGGCCGTGGAAAATGCCGGTTTTGCGGGGCAACTCCCTGCTGGGGCACTGGAACGGGAACAGGGCGATTCATCATCGCCAGATCCGGACTTTGCTGTGGTAGTGTCTGCGGAATCTGAGGACTTGCTTGAGACGAGATTGCCCTTTGTGCTTTTGCCGCAGCCTGGGCACGGGCCTGGGCATCAGACTGAGCTTGGAAATGCGCATGTTGGAATTTCTCCTGCTGAG